ATGCACAGTATTTTGCTTAAATTGTGAAAATGAATGTTTGTGCAAAGATTTTCTATTTGACACAAGTAGATATGTGTTTGTATCTGTATCTGTATCTGTGTGTGTGTGTGTGTGTGTGTGTGTGTGTGTGTGTGTGTGTGTGTGTGTGTGTCACCATGTCTGCATGCCAGCAAATGCAATGTAAGAAATGGAGCAAAAAGATATATTTCTTTTTTGAAGAATTAATGAGTAATAGCTTTGCAAAGAGGTTGCAAGTCAGAAATCTGTCTAATATTTAACTAATTTAGTGCAAACATAACTTTATTTGAGACAAAGAGATAAAAAAAACTGTGTACTGTATGCAGTTGCAACTTGTCTTTGTCTATGTGATCCTGTACATCTCCCATCTGTGCATTCTGCCTGCTGGATCATCCATGGGATCATCTTTGCTACAAACACTCAGTGTAATAGAATTAGCAGCATCGATTTGCCTAATTACAGTATAAGTGTGCAGCGATTCATGTCGTCCAAATCCAGAATCTGTGTGAGCACAAGCCAGAGTAACGGCTTAACACATCGGAGCAGGATCAGACCCAACTAATACTCCGTTGTTTCAGACTAAATCCTGAAATACAGTCATGCATTCATCCTAATGCACATGGTATGCTTCCTGTAGTGTACCGTTCCTCGCAATAACTTTCATCCCCTTACTTTTCCATAGCCTTCTTTGTGACAACTTTGAATTCAATTAGATATATTTGGGCTTTTTGCCATGTGATAAAAGACAAAAAGTGTTTAAAAAGCAATGATCTGTAAGGTGCACAAGTGAACCTGAGGGCATTTTGGTAGCACCACATCTTCGTGCAAAGATTTACAATAAGCACATATAGCTATTTTTTATCTTTTTAAAAATGTATTTTTGGGCTTTTCTGTGCCTTTATGTAGACATAGGACAGTGGATAGAGTTGGATATCAGGGAGAGAGAGAGAGAGCGGGAAAGGAGCCACAGATCAGATTTGAACCCAGGCCACCTGCTTTGCGGACTACATGGAGCTTGCGCACTAACCTCTACACAACTGGTGCCCCACTTTTCATAATTTTATGTTAAAATGGTTTAAAAGATATTATATTCCCCATGCCCACTTCCAAATTTTGGACATTTTGTGCTCAACTATACATATTACCAACAAAATTCTTAATTCTTAATAATAGTCAATTGTAACATGATAAAAAAAGTGGAAAAAGTCAAGGGGGCTAAATGCTTATCATTGACTTGTGATTTAAAAGGCAGTTCTACTCTTCTGATATTATGCCTGCATTTCAAGAGAAAGGGTCTTATCTGCATCAGTGACATGTTGCTCAAAACAAGCTTAATAACAGAAAGGTTTTCAAGATATGATTATATATGTGAGCGGAAAAATCACGTGTGAATGAAGAAAGTAATGATGGCAGAAATCCAATTAGTTTACTTCACTTCACCACTGCTAGTGGGTCTAAGGTATTGCACAAGCTGACTGATGCACTGTCAAACGAAGGACCAAAACTTTAGTGAATGTTAATGCTGACAAGGTGCCCCTCCTGCTATGGCATAAATAACTCCAGAGAAAAAGGCATCAACACACCTGTGCCTTTTTTAAATTAAAAGTTGAACTACAATATGTCAAGGTATGTAACCTACTTGCTTTTCACATTACACATCGAATGTGTCATCACAAAGACCACGGCGCCAACACTTGACGCCTTGATTGTGTACAGAGAGTACAGTGTATCACAGGAGAATCACTTTTACAGACTTCTTTCTCTTATGGATGGTTATACAGTGATTCTATGTGTGGTAATTATCGGTCATGAGTATTACTCCTGTTTAAAATAAATCCCTGTGACAAAGCAGATCTGGCCCTCCATAGCTGGTTCCCACAGCTCTCCCCCACACTGCAGCGGAGGCCGCAGTTAGCAGAGAGACAAAAAGGAAAAAGAGCGGGCAAATTGAAGAGAGATGGTGGTGGTGGGAGTTTCCTTTGACGGGGCACCATTGCAACATTTGCATATATTCAGATCAGCCGATGAATACCGTGCATGCGGGCAAACAAAGACGAGCCAATGGGAGGCCTGCATCCCTGCTGCGGGCTCAGAAGCAGCCGCCGGTATCCCAGCAGCCCTCTGGGAGAGACACAGGGAAGTGGTGTGGGAACCAAGAGGCCCCCCGAGCTGAGCAGAGGGAGGGGAGCCACTTGTAGCCCGTGGTGAATTAGCATTTTATTTGTGTCCATTTTTCTCAGTAATTTCTTCCCCGCCACTTCAGCCACAGATGGCTAACATGGAAGAGGGATTAGCATTTGTGTCAAAGATGATGATTATGGAAGTGTTTTTCTACCCAGACAGAGACGTCTCTTCTCACAGTGTAACTGACATTTTAATGACTGACATTTAGGCAAATTTACTAAATATGAAATACATTTCTGTACATTTTATATGTCGAAGATGGATGGAAAATGTTAAAAGTACATGTCAGATGATGCTAAAACTCTTTACATATTGCTCTATGTTGCACAATGCAGCCTAAGGGTCATACACTTACTTCATCCTGAGTTTATCATATCTGTCTACACGTTCTGTAGATATTTTATGTTTAAGATGCAACAAGAGAAAGAGGATCAAGAATCAATCTTTAGAATCAGAATCAGGTTTAATGCTGAGTAGGTTCTGCCATTCAAGGAATAAGTCTTGGTGTGTTGGTGCACTGAACATGTAAACAGAAGAAAGATAGGAAATGCAGTAAACATCAATTATCATACTGTTATTTAAAAAATAAAAAATAAAGGAAATATGAATGTTTTAATAATGTAAAAGCTGTTTTGAATAAAGACACTATGCAGTATAATCAGACAGTAATCCAGGTAAAGGTATGTCAAAGTTTCCTGAAATGTGACTTGCCCTGCGTAGAATCTCACAAACTTGTCTTAGGGTATAGGTTGAAGTTGCATCAACAAGACTCAAAAAGATCAAATAGTTTGACACGGAGCTGAGCAACTAATTTGATGTGATTTACGTTTGCAAATCTGATTCAGTGGTGCATACATGCAAACCAGAGATGCCGTTCCTTCCGCGCACAAAGCTCCATTTGATCAAATTCACAGCTCTCATCTAAATGTCATGCTCTCATGCGCAAATTCGCCGGGCAAAGGATCAGACATAACTTCAGCAGAAGGGCTGCCAGTAATTATTAAAAAGTGGGTATTCAAAAAGCTTCAGCAGACCACCCAAATAACCCACGCACATGCTTAACACAGATTGTTATATGGTGAATGGTTTAGAGGGCAGACTGCTGGGGGACTCTCTGCTCTATTGGAGGCATACAGGCCTCCGGTTTACAGAGGATGAGCTAACATTATAATGCATGCACAGGCCACTGTGTGTGTGGACATTCATTCTCATCCAAAGTGACCAAGCGTACCTCACATGAAGGATGCATCAGCGCATCCAGAGATGTTGTCCTTGTACCACAATATTTCCCCAAACACCTCATGGTTTATCATAATCAGTGATAATACAACATAATACAGCAACACATCACAGAAATACAAACTGTTGGTAATATTTTTTCCTCTTTTTTTTATTTTTTTATCTTTCTTAATGAGAAAATAATACCTCAACTCATGATTACATCCAAATCCCCACATCCCCTCCCTGTTGGCTGAGGTTTTTATGCCTAAATAGAGCATATCTGAGACCAAAAGCTTACCATTTGCATAATGTTTGTTTTCTTTCAATGAAATGTTAAGAAACATGATGGTGGGAGCATGAATCATGGAGATTATCATTAGGAGGATCTCACAGAGGTATTCAGGGCTACCGAGGGGAAAAAAGGAACCAATACGAAATTGTACAATTTAATTCCAGATTTAGGACTATGTTGGCAAAAGGGTATATACAGGTACTTTATATTTCTTTTTTATTATTATTTGGAAAAAAATAGGTCTTAAATAAACACATTGGCTCTTAAAGTGTGTTTGTTTTTTCATGTCAGAATGTTATATTGTGGAGAAATAAAATTGTTAAAGGCACTCACAATATTTTTCAGTGGTAAATATAAGAGAATAAAAACTGCCTTCATGGAACTTTTTAATACTTTTCCTGCTCAAAGAATACTTAAGACAGCGGATGGGACAAGCGAGCTTTGGAATTTCAAAATTACCATAAAATAAGCAACAATGTGTCTGTAAAATGTTAATAGTTAAACTCAATGGTGCAGGTTTGGTTCCAAAATGCAGGAGATAATGATTTGTTTCTGTATGTTTGTTTAGGCCTGTATCAATTAAATGGATAATAATAAATATGAGACTGGTCGAAGATTTTTCCTCTTCAAAAATTAGAAAGTAGGCTATATATTAAATTCAGAACTATCAATACACTTATCCTAAATGAAATCCCACTTGGTTTCCGTTAACAGAGGACTGATGACTACTCTACTGAATATGTGGAAATAATGTTCAATATTCTTCTCATTGCAGCCAGCATTAAAAAGGAGAAGAGAGGAGAAAAAGATAAAGATAAAGAAAAACAGAATGTGCTGCCAAGCAAAAGTAAATGTATAACGTGTAAGTTAAACATTAAATATAATGTAAGTATCCCTGGACGGTCTAGGAGGTGTTGATTAATATAACTACGTCACAGCAGGATTAATGTAAAGCAATTTAAAGTTATACTGTAGCTCGTATCAATATGATCCTATAGGACTAACCTTAATTCAATTCAGAAAGTCCTTAGTTACAGCCTTCACATGAACATAATGAAACACAGTCTTACTAAATGTAAGCGGTCACATGAAATACCTAACGCAACTTTGAATACTTCATGACACGACCTCCTTTACTTTTCTACTTCAAGTCGAGAAGCCGTGTAGTGGCATCATTGTTGTCCTATAAAAAAAGAAGTATGAGGGTCGAATTTACAAAGCTTTCTTGGAGCACTTGAATGCAGCGTGCGACTCCAACCCCTGAACTACATCCGGGACATTCAGCTGTTTCACATGTTCAGCTGTAAAGACTTCCCCTGCATGTGAAGAGGGTCCATCAACTTCTCTGGTTCTAGCCACAGCTTTTTCGGAAAGACATGGTAACAGAAGTCATTGGCATGTTGTTATCAGTGTTAAATTGTTGCTTTGGTGGTCGCGAGTGAGCTGATCTTCCTTGTGTTGGTTAGCGTTTCCAAGAGACATAGTGGGTAATGCTAACTGGCTAGCTACGCCTGCAGCAGCACTGACAGGTGGTGAAGTTTAGCTAAATTTAGCACCATAGCCATTTGCCAACTTTCATTCATTTTGCAGTGGGTTTCAATACATCCTGTTTTAAAGGCCATTTATCTCCTGCCACTGCATGATTTTTAATGTGCATTAGCACCTACGGCAGCCTGTGATCCATGAAATAACTTATCTTTGATGAAACAAAGACTGCACTTGAAACCTGGAGTCTTGCATGCTTAGTCCACATGAAATGCTGTATTCACTGATAGTTTCAGACAAAGCACATCTACTCTTAGACTGTCTGTGACGAATAATTTACAGTCACAATCTTGTTTTCATGTTCAAGATGGGACTCTCAGAGTTTCTTCCTCACACATGTTCACTTTAACACATGTGTGTGTGTGTGTGTGTGTTTTCTCTGACAGGCGCTGATGGGGATTCAGCTGGTGGTCAGCTTGCTGGCTGCCAGCATTATGCAGAGGATGGCTCCGCACTGCTCATTTGCACGCTGGCTCATCTGTAATGGCAGGTGTGGTAACCCTAACGATCAAGTTATATGTCATACACACACACACACAGGCGATGCACTTTCTTAACATATATGAGCCTGTCGTTCCTTCCAGTTTGTTCCGGTTCAAGCATCCGTCAGAAGGAGAGCTGTGTGCCCTTGCGGGGAAACAGATGCCAAAACAGACCAAGAGAGACAGGTGTGTGTTGGGGGAAGGTCTGACTTGGGGGTAGAGTTGTGTAAGAGTAACTCAGCCTTAGGGAGCATCTGCCTTTGATGCAATTACTGTACTTCTGGGCAGAAAAGACGGCTACTCCAGAAAAGCTGACAATATTTGTATCCATTAAAATTCAATTTTTTTTAGAAGTTAGTGTTGTTATTTTGTTTTACATGTTTGTTTATTTTCATTCATTTGTTCATTAGGAGACAAAATGGAGAGAACAAGCCTCTGACCGTGCCTAAAGACATCGACCTTCACTTGGAGAAAGCTCCTGTCAACGCGCTGGATGCTCTTGGTAAAACTAGCATTCCTTAGTTTACTCCACATTAATGTTTTTGAAGCACAAACACCACAACAGTTTAGCTGCTTACTCAATACAGACCCATCACATACACTGCTTACATTTTCTTATTGTGCTTGGATCAAAACATTGAATGGAAAGCAGATGGGTTTAAGTTTCTCATGGCCTTTTTTTTTTTTTTTTTAAATCTTGTTGTTTCTTTCAGTGCTGCGTTTTTTCTTGGAGTACCAGTGGCTGATAGATTTTGCAGTTTATGCCATGGGTGTCTTCCTGTTCACTGAGTGTTACTACAATGTGGTTGATGCCAGAAAAGAGATCAATATCGGAGCCATCTGGTGCGTCCTGACAGTGCTGTTTGGTCTGTATCCTTCAACGTTTAAAGTCACTTTCTGTAGTGGAAACTCAACACAAAGTGTCAACACTTGGTTCATCCTACAAAACATACTTACGTACAGAGATACAGTACATTCAGGCTTTTTTTCATCATTAAAAAAGCCTGCTTATATCATTTAAGTTGTTATTTGAAACAGTTGCATGTTACCATCACGAGTTGAGGATTGGCGTTTCCTTTCCCTTTGTTTGTTAGTTGTTGTGATTTAACCGACAACCTTCAGAAAGACTCTTCACACTCTGATGAGACACTACTTCCGCTCCGAAGAGGGGGGCGAGCGCTCTGTGTGCCTTGCCTTTGGTTTTCTGACTCTGCTCGTGGCCATGCTGGTGCTTGTGGTCAGGGAGGAGTACCTGGAGTTCGGCCTGGAGTCTGGCTTTTCCAGCCTCTTTGACAACTTGGAAACGTTTGCCAAACAGCAGGGCTACGCTCAGTGGTCGTAAGTATCAGTCTCTGCTAAGACAACTTGTTGCTGAAATACTACTTTGGTATCTTTAAATGGAACATGTAATGTTATATTGAATAAGATTGCATTTTGAATCAAGAGAAAACATTGTTTGAAGTGTGCATGAGCCCTGACAGGCTTTTCCTTGACACATATATGTGCTTGTTGCAGCCAAACATTTGCTTTCTGTTTTAATCCCTCAAGAATCCCAGTGACCAAGCTGACCATGAAGCTCGGTCTGGCCGCTGTCTGTGCTTACATCGGTTCTATCCTGGCCTTCCCCGGCCTGCGACTGGCTCAGACTCATCTAGATGCTGTACAGATGAACTCAGACCGCCCACTCATCCAGTAAGAGCTGATGCATTTAATGCTACACTAGATACTTTCTACTTCCTCATAAAAAGTCTTCCTTTTGCATTCTTAAGCTTTGTTCGATTTTCCCCAAATTTTCCTGCAGGTTTCTGCTGCACATAAGTTTCATGTCTCCGGTCATTGTGTTGGTTCTCTGGGTGAAACCAATGGCAAGAGACTTTCTGGCCAGTGCACCTTTGGGGAAGACCTCCATCACAATGTGAGTGCAAATTCATATGTTCCTGTTTCATCCTCTTTAACTCACCTCCCCTGTTGTCGAGACAGAAACACCGACCTGTGATTAAACATTTCCCTGATTTTTTTTTTTTCACATCTTCAAAATCCTGCAGAGTTTCCAGTGAAGCATTCGACAGCGTGCGCCTGTGGATCATCGTGGTGTTGTGTGTGCTTCGACTAGCAATGACTCGTTACCACCTTCAGGCCTACCTGAACCTGGCTCAGAAGTGGGTGGAGCAGATGAAGAAGGAGGCGGGTCGTATTGCTGCAATTGACATTCAGAGGAAGGTCAGGATTTAATTTTTAACTTTTTAACTTTTGGATTCTTTTTTTTAGTAGGTTTGATTTATTTTTGGCAATAGAAAAGTAAAACCTTCTGAAGTGCATTTTATGTGTAAACTGAGAAAGGAAAATTCTGTTTTTCAGGTCACACGCATCTTTTGCTTCTTGACTGTAGTTACTCTCCAGTATTTGGTTCCTATTCTTCTCATCCTCTTCTCCACACTTTCACTCAAGGCATTAGGTAAGTAAAACACACACACACACCGTCATCACAATTCAATTGTTTGAGGATCAGTGCACACTGCATTTAATATTTCTGTATTTTACCAAAGCATCTGAATTTACACTTATAGAAATAGAAAAAAGACTTCAGGGAAAGATGTCCCCTTTTTCGTCAAGAATTTAATTGGCTAGCACAGCTTAGCGTAAAGTCTAGAAACAAGGAACAGCTACTAGCCGAAATGAATCAAGCACAAGACCCATGTAATAAACCTTAGAATAAAAAAACAACATACACTTGTTAAATAGTACCGTAAGTATTAGCTGGCAGTTTGAATTTTACAGCCATACGAGCAAGGCTGATGTCATATTGAGATAAATTGCTGATGTTTTCTTCTTACCGTTCCTCCAAGTTCAGTGGTAAAAATATAAATGTTGTCTGACTTGTAGGGGACTTCTCCTGGGGCCCTGGTGCAGAGGAAACTCCTGGGGTGACACCAGCACTGGTGATGCCCACAGCAGCACCTGTGCTGCCCGGTGGTCTCGACGAAGACGAAGAGGGGTGGACGATATGGAAGAAGACATCCAGGCTACAGTAGCGCACCTGACAGAGGCCTTCTCAGCGCTGCGTGCCGTCCTCACTCCGCTTTTCTTAAGAGGTTTCTTTGCATTCCTCACGTGGTGGGTGGCTGCCTGCCAGGTTATCAGCTCTCTGTTTGGCATCTACTTCCACCAGTACCTTATGCAGAACTAACTGATAACAAGCACACAGTGCCATACTGTTCGACCTGCAATGCAATTCAAGCCCTCAGCTGTTGTTAAGCTGTTTCAAAGGATAGCTGCAGGCAGCAAAGGGACTTTACATTAATACACACATCTACAGACAGAATGCACCTTGGCTGTAATAGAAGATCTGATCAAGGCTGGTTGAGAGTGAGATAGATGACTGACACTGTCGGTTGCAATATTGGTTACATCGTTCCCTTATGACTTTCAATGGCCAGCAGGATACTGGTATCAGTAACCCAGATGTACAGAGAGCACTCGAGTCTATAGAAGAGAACAAGTTCAACTTAGTCTGGCTGTCTCTGGGTTTCCTCACTTCACTGCATTAGAATACTGGTGATTCTCGTCATCAAACATCTGGTTACCAGCTGGTTCAGTTATCTGTTGCTTTATTGATCCAGCTTCTTTTGTGCTCCCATGAACTCAGCAGAGATCAAAGTCAAATTCAACATTACTGTATACAGTTGCAATTGGATTCATCTTTAAAATATTTTTCAAACATTTCAAGTATGCTGTTTAATATTGCTAACCGTGTAAGAATAAGGTTGTCTTAACATGTTTGGCATCTCAACCGGTTGGCCAGTGTAAAAAAAGTGACATTTGTATTATTTTGACGCCTTTGTATTTGTTAACAAACCATTCTGAGTGATACACTCACAGCAAAAATGATTAGAAAAGGTGAAGAAGTCAAAACATATAGAGGTGATCAGCTTCAATTAGCTAATGGAAAGTGTTCATTCAGTAGTTGACTCCCCTCCCTGAAGGTCACCATGGTGGTCCACCAGATTCACAAGTGGTCCAGCTTTTGATAGAGGAAAACAAGTTTAGCCCAAAGAATGTCAGCTAGCCAAATATTCTTGCTTTGTACAGTCCTGCTGTAGTCAACTCCTGCCTACTCAGTAAAACATTTTCCTGCATCTCTTCAGACGTATCAATACCAGTGGTACCTGAATTCTTAATAGAACATTGTTCAATGCTGCATATGTGTATGATAGTTAAATGGTAACAGGGTAAGTATTAGTACTTAATCCCTGTCAGGATAAGTTGTTTGTTTTGTGAGGGACTTTTTGTCCCCCTTAAGGAACCGATTCAAGAGTGCTAAACTTTTTATTTAACTTTGTTTTTTCTGCTGTTTATTGCGTTTATGTAGTTAAGTTGAAACCGTCCTTATGAATCAGTTGAAAATGAACCGTGTTTGTGTATCAGTCAAGAACTGATGAGATGTTGCTTATTTTTTTGTTTTTCCTGTAGAATTCCTAAGTGCCTGGGAGCTCAGGGATTTTGATTCGATTTGAAATCTCCTTTCTCTCTGATAAATCATATTTTGACTGAACAGAAAACATTGATAGATCAAATTTAGACTCTTAACTGTTTTTTTTTCCCATTTATTTTTAATTTTCAAACACGACTCACTCGCATCATCTTTAGCAGCAGTGAATTAAATCACTTTTATTTTTACTTTTTTGTTGTTTTTATAGCTAATCAGTCAAGTAAGATTAAAGGAGCAATATGTAACTCTAATTTCCACTCTAGTCAATAATTGTGTTTCCACATCGAGTCCTTCTCCGGAGCTCTGTCACCAGCGCTACTACGCTCTGCTCTGTTTCAAATAAGCTTATGAGTCTATTTTTGATGGTGTACCCCACAGGCATGCGCCAAGCTAGACCAAATAGAACAACCTGGACAGAAAGTCAAACAAGGGAACGCACTGAGCGTCCTGTCAATTTCAAAATAAAACACTACACAGACAAACAATCTTATTTTCCATCACTTTATCAACATAGAGTCAAAACAGGCACCAAACGAACAACAAAACAACCTCAGAAAGACAGAGTAACATGTTGTTTGCACGTTTTTCTCTGTATTCTCACGTTATCTTGTAGTTCTCCTGTGATGTGTGTGATCTGCTCATGGCTGCAATCATGTTCCAGAAACAGGGCAGGGCAAAACCGTGGCGCTGGCAGACCGCGGCATGTGGTGTGTAAATTCGTTGCTAGAGACGATGTGCACGCAGGTTGCCATGTTGCAGATTTAGAAGCTTCAGTGTTTAGCCAGCTCTGCATCGGTCTTGAAACCTTTTTTCTGCCTCTCATAGTATTACCACTTTTCTGCTCATGGAGCTTATTCGGAAAAATGCAGAGTTTTTTTAGATCAGTAAAAATCAGATATATCTGAAACAGTTTGCTTGCCCACTTTCATCGCTGCAAAACCAGTTTGTGTGCTGTGACAACTTGTTTTATATCAGGCAAACCAGGGGTGTGCAAAATGGCCGTGTGGGGGTTACATGAAACCGCCGACCTGCTCTGGTCAAAATGAATACAGACTAATCCGGACCAGAATCTAATCTTAGGAGGACATACTGGCTGCTGCATTGTTGTCAGAGAAGCCAGCACTTCAACATAGCATGTTTCCTTATTGCCTGAAGGTACAATGAGGTCATGTTTGATAATTTAATTCAGTAGATATTTTACATATTGCTCCTTTAATCCAAGCCCACTTAGAATAATTGTGTGCGTCAGTGGGTTTTATTTATTTATGATACATTGGGTTGAATAGAGATGATACTGATGCTGCAACTCTACATTTTTATTTTCTGTTTGTTGTGTGTGTGTGTGTGTGTGATATTTTAGATAGTATATTTGAATGAAATGCTCTGAAATCATTACTGTGAAGTACATATCGAAACATTGCTTTTTGAGATTTCCTGAATGCATGGTGTGTGAAGTTTTCCGTGTGAGTGTGTCTCAATAAAACATTTTCAGTCTGATGTTGTTTCCACTTAATTCTGCTCTCCTCCAGGAGCGTGGGAGATACTGCTGATAAAACATTTCCTTTAAAAAAAAAAAAAAAAAAAAAAAAACCTCTGCTCCAATTGACAATAGACATCATGCATGACAATGGAGTGTCTCGCCGCTGTGCTGGGTCCTGATCTCTGACCCCCGTCCTCCTGAGAAGATCATTGTTTAATCGCTGATAATTACTATGAACCTGATGCCCCAAAAGAGTCTGGGAAGCAATATTGTCATTACACATATACAAGTAGAGTAATATTGCCAGTGGATGCTCATCAGGACCTTTGGACATTTGACTTCTTGCTTGAAATCTTCAAAATGTGTCATCAGTTCAGCCTTAAAGGCATTCAAACTAAATGTAAAAGCTTAATAATAATAATAATTTTATGCCAGTGATACAACAACATTTCAGGAACTGACCTTTCAACACCAAAGACTGGAGAGGTTTTTTGTCTGCAAGCTGACATGATATATTGGTGATATCTTTTGACTTTCATATCCTGTCAGAAGCCACAAAGGTTCTCGAATGTAGGGAGGGACGGCCACTTTGTAGGCTTTTTATGTTACCGATTACATGCTTCACTGAAGGATATCAACAATGAAGAAGGCTCTGCAAGAGTGAAGAAATGTAAAGGGGATCTTTCCCAATAAGACTACTTGAGATAACTATGAGGATGCATCACCGATATTTCATATGTTGTTTCAACAATGTCACTCAAAGTTCCTGTGTTTTTAGCTGGTGATGAAACAGACTGAAATTAAAATTATGCCTCCTTATGACCTATAAAGATAACTAAGCTCATCAGGGATACACCAGAGAATTTCTGTATAGTGATTTTTTTTATCCCTGTAACTTCTGCTGCAGAGTGTTTCAGGCAACATTGACAGCACTCTGCAGGAACAGCTTTTTGTTTACTTTTTCCACAAGGATTCACATGAAGTGATACGTTTGACAGTTGAAAGAAACAGGAGGAGATCTTTTGTCAGAAAACACGACTTCCACATGTACAGCGCTGAATCAGCAGAAAGATAAGACACGCTGCTTTGTCTACGGGTGTTGCTGAAATCAACGCAAGTTCCTCCCAGGAGCTTAAATGCTTTTTCTTCTGAATATTCCTCATGTGTCCTTCACAAGCACTGACGAGAGAGCCTTTTGTTTTTATGGCCTTAAACTTGTGAACTAACTGCCTATGGATATCCAGAATAGAAAGCTCTATGGGTATTCTCTATCGTTGTTTTTTTTAATAGTTTTATCTCTGGTGATTTTTTTTTGTCTGGATGAAATTTTACTTTTTAAAATTGTATTTTATTATCATTATTATTTTTATCATTTATTAAATTTTGTTTTAAAAGACTATATAATTAAATTTTTCTTTTGAGTTTTAATCTTTTAACATTGAAAATGTTGTCCCTTTCTGTCTACCTGTCTGTTGTTCCTTTACTTTATGGAGCACTTCAGGCTTCATGATTGTATGTTTTAAAGGTGATATATAGGCCTAATTATTATTTAGTTGAGGATTTTGTGTGTCAGAAAAATTACATTTCTGATAATGAGCCAAGTAAGTTTCCAGAGAAAATGTTTCAGTTTCATTGATACTTTGCACATTTCGAAGAGACTTCCTCGCCTTCACATGACCAGTGTGGGTCAGCTCCGATCTAAGCCTGTGGCAGATCTGTGAGAGCATCTGGCATAATAGGTGACAAGGTTGACAGATCTATATAATCATATTAATTATATTTGTCTGTGCTGAAGCCTCGGGCCCCCTTAAGTCTGATCTGTGAACTGCAGTGCGGTTGCTATAGGAAACAGGAAGTGTGTGAGCAGGGACCAGACATGCCCCACAGACTGGGCCAGCCTGGTCCCAGGGGAGAAGACCAGACATGACCCCAGTCAGAGTCTCTTTTCATTATGGGAGGAGAGGACAGACATGAACCAGAGCCCGACTCTGCTCTTAGTTCAAATGCTCCATGGTGGTGTAAAAAGAAAATGTTCTGGCATAGTAACTGTGAGACAACCAGCTGTGGAAATGAATCTTTTTTTGTGCTGGATATAGTTTTTGAAGGCCTAAAGGTCTCCGGGCTTTTACCTGCTCCATTCTTGTTCCTCAGGTTTGGTGGCTGTGTGCTGAGCTGCCTGACAGGGGCCGGACATGATAATGAGGGAGTGTGCATTTAAAAGACAGAGAATAAATGGACACATAAAAGCTTGATAGCTACATTTTTGTATGTCTTATATTATTATACAGGAAGCTCTTTACATCAAGGAAGGAGATTTTGTATTGACTTGAATGTCCGTGAAGGGAGAAGCAGAGTAGAGATGACCCTGATGAAGGCCACAATGCAAAACGTATCAGTCTAATAAAGTTAATAAGATTCATCTTCATACAACAGTACAAGTGTTCGTGAAGCTTTTTGACATCTTCATGAAAAAGATATGTAGAATCAAATGAACTCATTTGTACTGATGAAGAAAAATCGACCAAGGCAATCATACAAATCAAACCATTTTTATTTCAAAGGAATCACAACAAATATCAAATAAAATCCCTCTTTGCTTTGTGAAGCATTCAGCAAACATATAAAAGTCAAACTAAAACATCAGAACACTGATAATTCGTTTTTTTTTCTCCACACATATATGTTACAATATTACTGCATAAGACAGGAAAATAAAATAAAACTAATTCCACAGCAGCACTTGAACTTGAAGACCTCTACCAACCAGCTCACTGAATCTCTGCAGAGTTTATCACGATGTATTTGTCGAATGTCTCCAGGGTGAACCACTGAACCTGTGTCATGTCTCAAAGAATCAGTCTATATTCATCATAGACTAATAAAATGGGTGATTTATGATACTTGAACTTGGTCTTCAATCTGTGCTGTTTTCAAATTTAAATCCAAATGTTGTGAATAAGATGCCCCCTTGTGGACGATAGGAAATTATTCTAATAATGAACTAAGAGTATATTTTGTCCTCTAAGGAGGAAAGGCAAAAAAGAAAATCTAGTGCACAAGAACACAGTGCAGAGTAAATTTACAGAAACAGAAATAAACTTTTTCAATAAAATACTAATAAGCTGTGTTTAATTTTAAAGATCAAATTAAAATGTAGACGTTTATTTTTTTAAATCATGTATTTGTCAAGCTTTAAACTATCAACAACATACAATGACTAAAATTAAACATTAAGATAAAAATAACTCATAGTATTTTTTTATTACTTCAAATAAATCAAATCAAATTAGACCCAATATTGACATGCACGTAATGTCTTTGGTTGTTTTAGTATTATCTTGTAATGCATAGGGGAAAAAATGCAAAGTCTTTGGTGTTCAGTTGAAGTATACTGCTATAAGTTTTGGTATTGAAAAAGTGAAGTAAAAAACAATAAAAAAAATGTATTTTAGGAGGAGTTATACAGCACAAGCTTAGTTTATCCACACTTTTAGTCTTACAAACATTGATAGAAGCAAGTTTCAAAATTCCCAAAGAAAGCATCAGCCAACTCCCTGAGATTCCCTGGATGGAGAGGAAAGGTTCACATTTGTTACAGTGTGTTTTATAGTAATACCTAAAATTCCAAGTAAAACAGCTTTTGGTGTGTTGTGATAGTTCCTCCTGTCTGTACTGGCCCTGAAGAGAAGGGACGTGTCCAAAGGGTTGGCATGGGCCCCCCCTAGAAATCTGATTTGCCACGCAAGGTGCCACCCCAAAAATCCTAAACTGTGATTGTCGACATGTATTTGCCCTGTCAGAGGCTTATGTTAAAACTTTTTTTGGAAAGGCTGCTATTTTTCTTTACATATCAATATAGAATATTTTCCTTTGATTGTTCTTTAAATTGAACAATTGAATAAAAACTTTGCACATCTATTTCCCAAGATAAGTGCTTTGGAAAGTATTGCACTCTTACTTGCTATGAACTAACTGGCAAAGTGTCAGGACCAAAACATTGCCAATTCATGTATTTCTTCAAGGTAGACTTTTCGCAGGAGTTTGCATGCACATTTTTAAGTACTTTCAATTGTGACTGACTTTGCACATAAATCTTCTTTTTGTGTCATTACAAATGAAGCTAACGCTGCCATTTTCCTGTGTTTTAAAGATATGATTGGTTGAGTTGGAAAGGGTGATTGATCATATTTATTTGTGCAACCCCAGAAAAAAAGTCTGGACGCACCCCTGCTGAAGAGATCCACATGTGATTTCAATGTACAGTATGAGATGGATAATTCAGAGTCCTCTTTTTCTGTAGAAGTGAAAGGCCTGAAAGTATACATTTAAAACTGCATTTTTTAAGGAAATTGACTTTTTTTTAGCTGTTTGCTGTATTTGAGTTGCATTATGAATGGACTTATTTCAGCATACTAATATGAGTCTTGTGTTAAGGTTAACTGAAAAAGTTGTGAAATAATCCTTGACATGTCCTTGTCTAGGCCTTGACCATGTCACTGATATTGTCCTAACGCTGAGGTGGTTTAGCAGGTTGTTGGTGTTTTTTTTTTTTTAGATATTCAGCTGGTCCCGATGTGCTGCTGTAGCTAACTTCAAAAAAAGTCAGAACAAAACAATTTTTTTTTTTAAATGGTATTTTTGATTCATATAAGCTCCACACAGAAAACTAAAGCTAACCAAACACAAAAAAGCAAAAATGTCTGTTTGCACGAGTTTCCTCTTTGGATGAACCAAGTAATGCAGAGAAATTATCCATGGCTCAGGAGAAACCAGCTCTCTGTGAGGAGACAAAGGAGTTGCTCTCTCTAGAAGGATGGGGACAAAATCGGCCGTCTCGTTATCTTCTGTGTTATATCTGTGCGCGTGTGTGTTCATGTTTGTGTGTAAGAGAGGACTTGATGGAAGATGGCTGATTGAATGGGAGATGGTGGTAGACTGCAGCAGCCAGCTATCTCTGCCACCCATCACTTATCTCAAGCTGCCTGAGCGGCTGCCCTCCTTCCTCTTCGTCCTGTGGGTAACCTGCTTTGGGAAACTCCTTCGTCCCATTGGCCAGACGGGCTTCTGGAGGAGTATGGCGAGCAGAATCAGGGTTGCTCATTGGGGAGTGCTGCCTGAGGTGGTGCAGAGGGGGGGAGGTGGGTGAGGACATGTGCTCAGGAGAGCTACGCTCTGATTTGATGCTGAGGTTAAGGGAGGGCAGATGTGGAGAGGATGAGGAGCAGGACTGAGAGGGGAAGGAGCACCCTCCAGTGGAAATCCTACAAACAACATGAGGAGAGGTGAAAAAATGTCTGACTCGCAACATCATTAAGACAGTATTCTAAAAATAGTTTTTTAAATGCATTAATGATTAAAGAAAGAAACTTCCATTCACCACTTATAAACACAAATGAGCATAATACAACCAGCTGGTTACAAAGATCCAGATGTGACCAAGAAACATCCATAAGTGTGTGGTTCCATATTTATGAGGAAAAATTACCTGAAGAATCCAAGGATTGTTCTCTTTCACACAACTTAAATAAGTGATGTCATATACATGTTTACAACATATTGTTATAGAACAAATTGTGCCCAGCAAAAATTAGCTGGAGCTTAGAACAGTGTGAAGATAATTCTCTCTGCCATGCATGATTACACATATATTCTTACCCTGGGCTTATGGGAGGCCCGTGGGGCTCCTGAGGTGGCTGTGCTGGGTGCCAGGGGTTTACAGCTCCTCTTTGTAGGCTAACAGAGTGATAAAAACCAGGTTGGCTGTACTCTAGGAAGGAGGAACAGAGACAAAACAATGGAAACAAATGGATACAAATTCTGATGAAGATAGCACATAGTATATATTGAAACACTTATTCACATGAATGCTCAGAGGTAGATGAGAGGATAGTTACCAATCTTGGCTATCGGCTAGTCTATTCACAACTCACTAATAAACATGTTCTATCATGTTTTTTTAAATACAACTATAAGAATACTGTTGCTATGAGTTACTGAATCACATTATGAGTTATCTACTATCTGGGCTATCTGTGTTGCTGTGAAAGTAAGGGCAGATACAAATGGCATAGTGTCTTCTAGAGCATACCTAATGCATACATTCAAACCATCATTATTAATTAGACTTAATCAGCAAGAAATTAAATAAATGTGCCTACTTAAATGCTGAACTGTTCATTTAATTTAAAGGAATTGTACTCCTTTTTTAATTTACAGAATCGGCTGATCAACTACTTGACTGTTTTTTCTGTTTGTCCTTATTTATCATAGTAAACATCATACACATCAGACGTACCAGAGGCTCCAGGAGATTGGAGTCCATAGCCCCCCAAACTGTGACCCAGCAGCCCTGCCTTTCCCATGGCGACCATGGAGCTGCCACTGTGCAGACCCTGGTACAAGACCCCCCTCTGATAAAAAAAAGGAAAGTCTTTTATGTTATACATGAAATATGTTCATATGTAAGGCAAACGATCTTATCACTGATCTGAACTACTGGATTTGCAATCCATTTTGTGGCGCCTCACTGACATGGTGTGAATCACACTTACAGCAGAGCTGTGGTTAGCACGTGTCGCTGCCATGCCCTGATTAGCAGCATCTCCCCGCAGGTTCTCAGTGCCCAGGCTAAGAGGAGGAGGGCTTTTCATGTCCAGAGCTCGGTTCAGGCTGCTGTGAGAGAACACGGAGTAACCGATACCTATGAGTTAAAAGGAAGGGGCAGGAAGTGAAAAGAGATGTGAGATTATTTCACCCATAGGCATAATTCTCTTTCTTCTATACCTCTCCCTGTTTCTGTTTATAAATGTGACAAAATGCACTTTTCTTTTTAATTTGACATTTGAATTTTGTTTCTGATCTTTGCAGACGTATTGGCTGACGAGTTCACGGTAAAATCTGTAATATAATCTAGTCGATTAACAACACTAAAAAATATACTTTAACTACTCTAAAACTGACTGAAAAATGTCAAACTTGCATTTTATTAATGTTAATGTTTTAAAATATTTAAGTTACAAGTGTCTTATGAGTCAACAGTGCATCCAAAAAGTAGAAGACTGTAAAAGGCTACATGACTGTGAGGTGGGACACTTTCTATACAGAAACCACGCAAGTTTTTTCAACCGAATGCACATGTGGATTAGTGCACACACACACGCGCACACGCACACGCACACACACACACACACACACACACACACACACACACACACACACACACACACACACACACACACACACACACACACACACACACTTCCTGTGTTCACAGCCAGCTGCACTGAGGGATCACAGCAAGCATTTAGCATGGCCCTCAAAGGGCATTTAATGGATTTGCATGCTAAATATTTTGCATCTATTTTTTTCTAAAGCTGCTAATTTGTAAATGCACTGGGATTTGCTGATGTCTCGGATGCAATATAATAAAAATAAAATCCCTCCAGAAGACGGTTTAAGTTTAATACCAGTTTTTTTTTTCATTGCTCATATTTTATAGCTTTTGTACAAAATGTAGGTAATGGACATTGAAGGGCATGAAATGTATATTTTCATATTATGTACTGTAAAATGTGTGAAAATCCACGATCCCTTTGAAATCTGTTGGTCTTGAATTGCATTTTTACAAAATATAAAAGTCATTACAAAATGACTTTTATATTGTGGTTAAAATGATTATTTCACTGTTTAAGACAAGAGGATATGAATTCAGCTCACCTGCATGTGGAGACATAAATGCACTGTGTGTGTGCTGTGCAGCAGGGCTTGCAGAGCCGGGTCTGGAACTCAAAGATTTAAAGCCCTGAGGTCTATGGGACACCATGCTGGATCCAGAAGAGTTTGGAAAGCCGTTCTCACAGCCCGCAGACACTAGAAACTGGGCCTCTGGTGAAAGAAGTGATGGGGCCTGAAGAGCAGAAACCAATTAAAAAACAAATTGTTTCTCTGGGTATTCCAGCAATGTTTAAACTCTTTCAATTTAATCACATATAAAGGTATACTTCCAGTCAGCATGTCTGTGTGTGTGTGTGTGTGTGTGGCGTGTACATGTGTGCATTTGTTTATGTGTGGTGCACAGCAGAAGTGTGTGTATACTGACATAGAAGCGCTGGCGTGCCACAGAGAGATCCATGCCCTCAGTGAGAGGATATTTGTCTGCAGCCACCTGCATGCTCTCCTCACTGTCCAGCTCAGTGCTGTCCATGCCAAGGCCCTTCCTACGCAGAGTCTGATACATAACAGAAAGTTCATGGGAAGAATGACCAACAATGAAAGCATAAAGATTAAAAGAAACAAGAACAAGATGTGATACCTAAACTTCTTGTTTCTGATCTCGTGCTCTAAAACTATTTATATGTTGTTTACTGTCTTTCCCTTTGATAGCAGCTTGAACATTACCTCCAGGATGTCTGTGTTGGTGCGACTCTCGTGCGGCTCGCTGTACTCTGTGTACTTGAGCAGCACTTTGTCCATGTCTGTGCTGGCGTACTGGAATAGACGGTTGGTGCTGTTGAAGATAATGAGGGCGATCTCACAGTCACACAGCACACTCAGCTCATAAGCCTTCTTCATCAGACCAAACTTACGCTTGGTGAAGGTCACCTGCCACCAGAAAAAAATATATCTTCAGTGTTTTGATCAATGTTAAGTAGACATGTTATAAGCTTTTATTTATTTATAAAAAAAAAAACATGTTTGAATAGTTCATGAGAAATTACAGCCAATAAAAATGTAGCAGAATTTGCAAAATGAAAAAAAAAAAAAGATTTAGAATAACTTGGATGAGTTTCATCATAGTCAGCCATACGGCAATCAAAATTATATTCATTTAATAATGATTTTCTAGAAAAAATAAGACTAATAAAGATTTTTATTTTTCAAGTACAACTATTTTGGAATTTTATAGCCATAAAACCCAACTTTGTCCCAGGAGACTCTACAAAATGTACAACATATTAAGTGAATATCTTCAAACCTTGATTCCAGCTAAGGTAAAAGTCCCCAAAATAAAACCATAACACCAAAAAACCTTGAGCTGAAAAGATCAGATATTAAAAAAAAATAATTTGTGAGCGCTAACTAAGCACTAATGAATACCTTTTTATTGTTGTCTATACTGTTTCTTAATTACTATTTGGTGGGTAACCTTTGTATACTGTTTTCAAAAAACAGTTACACTTTCTATAAAAATATTCATGCTAATAGTGATCTCATTATGTAGTTTTCTTTAATGTTGTACCGGAAACATTAACACACCAACACACCAACACACACATTAAGATATACGTATATTCAAAAAAGTATTTGAAGAGGATGATGCGATCACATTTCTTGCATTGCATTTTCCATTGACCTTACTAACGTCTGTCCAGAATAAGAAACTAAACTTCTATCAATGTCAACATTTTACAGTGGATACAATGCCTGCTGTCAACATTCATCTGCCTCTGGTGTGCTCAGTTCACCTTGTTCAGTGTGAAGGAGCAGACTTGCACCGATGAAATGTCATTTCATTTGTAGGGTTTTCAGCAAAACAAAACGTTTTGATACAGAGCTTACATCTCATATGGTTAACAATACTCAAAAATACTTATTTTTTTTACTCCACATTCTGATTGAAAAGACCACTTTGTAAACTGCCCATCAGTATTAACTAATACCATTCATACACATTCACATTACGCGGTTCAGTGTCTTGCCCAAGAACACTTCATCATGTAACAGCAAGAGATGGCGATTGCACTCCTGACCTTCAGGTTGAGAGACGACCGACTACCACTGAGCCACAGCTACTGTACCACACATGCTATTTACAAAGACTAATTACTCTAAACAAACAAACGTACGGACAGAAAACACAGCACACATGCTACACACAGCCTATGCTTTTACTTTTATTAAATCAAATGATTTCTGATGGCCTTAAGGACGATGATTATTATGGTTATTAGTAAGATTAGTACTCATATTGACAATGAGAAAATATATATTTTTTAGTTTATCTATTGCGTATTTATCTTTCTTCACCTTCATTTTAATTTGTATGATGTTAAGTTGTAGTGATAATAACATTGTTTATAATAAAAACTATACAACACCACCTCACTCTTACACATATTTTTTAATTCACACATCTAGCCTACAATAATTTAATTATTTAGTCAGTTACTGTATTATTTGCATAATTATACACTGCTTAATTTAATTTTATAAATAAAGTATTATTATTATAATTTTTGTATTACAATGAATCAGTAGCAGCAGTAGTAAAAGTAGAATTCCTCTTTATGTCATCATCAACATTTGCTTCACACAGTCTCTCAGTACAATACACACCCGAGCTACATGCCCCACAATATAATATAATCCATATACCCAAATAAGCAAACATAAGGTGTGTGAACCTCAAGCTGCATGTAAATATAAAATACATGTATGCGTAAAATGACATGTCGAGTCTACTGTTTTATTTGTGTATCCTGCACTCACTTGCACTACTAAAGCTTGCTATATGTGGGTGTGTTAAAAGGAGCCAATGAAATGTCAGAAAGAGTGATGAAATGGTCATCAGAAGTCCATAAATCTGTAAGTGCTTAGTTCAAATGGCTTCTGTGGTCTGTTCTACAGGCCAAAACCCAAAATTACATGCGCAAATAGCAAGGCAGCGCTATCTCCCTACTGCACTGTTTGGCTTCCGCACTTGAAAATATCTGCCAATAGTCCACTTGAGTTTCTACTGAGAGACTTATTGACCATAATATCAGAAAACCTGAGCGTATAGAGCTCTGCACAAAATGAATATCTTTTGATAAAAATAAACAAAAGAAAACGATTAACTGTATGTTGACTGACCTGTCTATTCCTCTGATCCAGTATACGAGAAATTTGTATTTTCTTTCGTCCCATTTTTGCAGCCGTCTTTGAGTCTGTAAAATGAAGAAAAAGACCAAATTATAGAAGTTACAAAATACATGACACGTTTTGTGTATTTGCAGTCTTTCTCTGCATACCAACAACTACATGTGATATTCTTTTTTTAAAGTTGTATTTTTGGCCATTTTAGCATTAACAATAGATAGAAAAGCTGAAGAGAGACAGGGAAATCGGGGAGGAGGAGTTGGGGATAACATGCAGCAAAGGGCGGAGGTCAGAGTCGAACACACGACCGGCTGATAACTTTTGCCTCCGTACATGGAGCATGCGACAAAACCACTGGGCTACCCGGCGCCCCCTACAGGTAATATTTATTGTAATCATTTTTCTCAACTAGCAGGAAAGGAAAATAAAGGTTGCGTGGCCACTGAGCTACTGGTAAATTATTATGTTGCCCTATATCATTTCAATATAAAAACAGTACAACCATTCTATGCTTCTTCTGGTAATTCTGGTGGGAAAATGTCAACCATTTGGTTTAAGTGACTCAAGTTCCTTCCCCCTTTGGTAAGAGCAGGGTGTTTATTTTTACCACCATGAGGCGATGCGGTCTAAAGTTAGAGCAGCTCTTGCCGAGCCGGGAGTCCACACAGTCTGACACCCCCACAGTCTGGTTACCCCGGGGCCACACAGCAGTAGCACAGTGCTCCTCTGCACCGCAGAGCCCCGAGAGACAGGGTTAAAAATACAGTCCATCGCTGCTTTTAAAGGTTCAGCAGGCAATAGCCAAAACTAAACGGTTGAAGGAAAACTCTGTGTTTCAGAGAGATGACTGACACTAAAGCCACCCACTCCTCTCTCATGCACAGCCAGGGAAGCAAAAAAAAAAAAAGGACCTGGAGGGGAAGAGGGCAATGGCATGGATGGATTGCGGTTAGCTTGAGAACGTCCAATTTTGAAGCTCACACCCGCTCTTTTCCTTTTCCTTTTTTTTTCTTGGTTTAGAAAACCTTTTCTCCTGTCTATGCCCCTGTATTACTGTATAAAGCTGGATGTTACAGAGAAATGTGAGATTCTTTGTATTAGAGGAGCCAGACATGTAATGACACTAAAACACAAATGCAAACATAACTTGGTCTATGTAAAAGTTATTTTTTCCATTTTACACTTCACTATTAGTCCTCTGACCTGACTGTGCCTCTCCAAAGCCCAGAGGAGTTTTTGACTGGTTTTCCCCTTAACATGTATTTGACTTTTTTCTATATTTAGTGCCCCATCCCTGTGATGGTGCATGAGCGGATATGGGGGCCTGTGTTCCCACGACCCCTGAAGTGCCCGCTGTCCCTCAACGTAAGCTTGGCAAACAGGCATCTGGGGCATTTCTGGAGGAATCCACCTCTTTGCCCTCTTTATTACCTTATAAAGTCTGGGGATGTTCAATGTGCTGAACACGCTGCAGAGACAAGACACACCTCAACTCTGACAGCTGCAGATGAACCCGTCACTTGCACAGGGGTTTATTATAAAACACAGCAAAATACAGACAGAACTTCTCCTTGAGTGCCACTAAAAGGCATTCTGCCTTTGTAAAAACTAATATTTCACAAAAATTAAGACAGATTAAGCTGTGTTGTCTGTTTTTGGATCAAAAGTGACATCGTTCTGCCTCATATTGATACATTCTAATGCACAGGAGGGAAGTGTGACATTTGCTCTTAACAGGGCAGAAAGATTTTTATCTCAGGATTTTACAGACAGTTCCTCTTCTCTCAGATACGACCAATCAACGACTTTCACTGTCATAAACAGCCCCGCAGAAACACATACCCAGATGGGTAAATAAAGCTACACCTCAAGCCGGACGATGTGAATTATAACTGTGAGTGTGGTTTGTTCGGTTTGTCAAAGGCCTGAAGGCCAAGACAGGCAGGAAAGGCCTGGCTGTGCCTCATATAGCAATTCTTTCTGTATGATTTTCCCATTCGACAACTGCCATTTGAAGTCTGTGAAAACACCAGAGCTGCCTGTGCTTTTCCATCACAAGGTGAGCGTGTGATCAAAGATGAATTGAAATCACATTGCACCTGCAATTTAACTCTTGATGCCATAAACAAGTCGCACAAGTTCAATCATGAGGATTTAAAGTAAAACAGAGTCGCTGTATGGCCTGTAATGGTGTAGTAATAGCATACTCAAATCACACAATTGCCCAAGGGTCTCAATGCCAAGGGTCTCAATGCCGTCCCACAGGTGATACAGTGGAAAATACTGAGTATACAAACACACCAGCACAGGCACACAGTAGCCATGCTCTTTGACGTGCCCTGGGAGCTTCTGACAGAAATCATCGAGGACCTCACTGTGACAACTTCGTGCATGTATAGTAAACTAAAAGCTTGTGAATCAACAGACGGAATGATGTGATCAGGCTTGATCAATTTTAAAAGACTTGATTATCAGAATAGATGTTTTTTCTTGCTGCAGTGAACTCTATACACGAACGACTAAAGAAAAACACGTGGGGCCTTTGTAGAGTATTGAGGGTTCTGCTTTGATGGTTTACATTCCATGAGTCATTCAGAGTATGGATGGTTTATATAAGTGTCAAGAACATGGCAATCATATGCTAATGTATGAGCTGAAGAAGCTAATGGATTGGCAGATTGTAAGAAAGCAGATCTCGAGAACAGCGACGTCAAAATTTCCCCATCAGACAAGTTTGTGTTCTCAGTTTCCCAGGATTAGAAAAAAGTGTTATAAGTGTTGATAGATACCTGTGTACCAACTCTGCAAGGCTGTGACGAAAAATTTCCCTAAGGGGAAGATGAAGCACTGTATGGTATAGTTATACTACAACAATGATCCATTTTGTTAAATTTGATTATTTATTATATTTCCCTTAATTGTGCAATGATTATACAATGAAAAGAAGCAGTGGTTCAGAAGCTTTGGGAATGACACTTAATCCAGCGGGTGTGAAGTCTTGTCGAGTCGTTTTGAGACAAGACCTTTGATGGGAGATAAAAAGTGAAACCAGACCTAAAGGTGTCTCCAAAAAATAGAAGACAGGAACATTTCCAAGATAAAGAATCACAATTCTCACACATACAAGTTCAAAGGTGTAATGCAGGCCCCCCCCCCCCCACCTCCCGACAAAAAAATGATCTGATTTGAAATACTAATAGCCTTGTTATCCTTTCAAATTAAAACTAACATGCTTTTAAGAAATGAAATAAAGGCCCAATAGTACCTCCTCATTTAAGTTATTTGCTCTAAGTTGAAGATTTTCTTCTTTTTTTTTTTTACAATCAAATCATCTGTATACCAGTTAAAATAAATGTGCGCCTCCCCATGTGTGTCAGCTTCAGGGTCAGACGGTTCATGTGCCCACCAAGCCCTTCAGAGTAATGGTGAGGAAATATTTGTCTAATTTTAACAGGAGATAATTGAATTGCCTTGATATTTTTGATAGAACAAGAATAGCTATAGAACATTCAGGCATGAGCTTAACATTTTCCTCTATGCAGGAAAAGGTTAAAAAAAAAAAGATTTTGCAAGATGTAAGAAGTTGTACCAGAAGTTGTACTGTAAGAAACTGAGAAGAAGACTGACTTTCTGAAAACTGACTACCCTTGATAAAACGACTGACTGATTTTCATTCAAATTGTGTCAAAAAAAAAAATCTAATTATAGCATAAACATGGGAGTTATCAGTGCACATTTTAAGTGAAGCTGAGTAGTGGAATGACTGTTAAGGCAACAGGTTGCAGGGATGAGAAAGATGAACTTGGAAAGAAGCCAAAAGTCTTCGCTGAAGAGTCTTGGGATGTGTTCAGTCTCTGTCCAAATGACGGATTCATTCTGACCAGCAAGCTAAGAATAAAAACTGCAAAAATAGGATGAAATACAAGGCTCGTGTTTGCGAGAAATTTGCAGATAATTAAACCTAACGAATTGCTGACGTCATTCAAAATAGACGTTTAAGAATAGCCTGTCTGTCCCCGAGTTGCCAAGCATCCCGTCTAATATAGACTCATCTATATGCTGCTTTCAATGACAGCAACAGGTAGGCAAGTTCACTCACACTTGACATAGGTTAACCAATCCGTCTTAAGTACACACATACACAAAAAAAAAAACGTATCTCACGTACTTTCAGAAACAAAAAGAGCATCTGATCTCACCTGTTCTCGATCCCTTCTCTCTTGTTTTATCTTTCGCGTTTCAACCTCTCGATCGGGGAAAAGTCGCAAATAAAAAAAAACGCAGATTTGCAGAAGTGTCGCCTGGTGTTCTGGTCTCGTTTTGATGCAACAGATTTTCACCTGGTGCAGTAGTAGCGATGGTTTAGGAGTGCTTTCTTTCCAACAGCTGGCTGCTGCCGCCCGCCTCTCTGTGTCAGCACACAGCACCTCCTCAGCAGTGCCATTGGACACACTCCTCCTCCCATCCGCCTTCAAACGCACCACAGTCACTTAAGGCTTTGCCAGCGAGATTACAGCAGAAGTCACACTGCATGTACTTTGTCTTCTATGTCTCCGAGCTATTATACTGTATAGGAGATATAATGCAGATTTTCTGTGATAAATAGTTTGCATACATTTTGTTTGTTTGAAAGAAAAAAGATCTTCAGGTTCCACTTAGCCTATTCAAGAAAAGAAGTGGGGGAGTCAGCACAACATCTTAACCATCACACAAAATCGTATGATAGCTAATCATTCCGAATGTAATGATGACTTCAAATTGGTTATTGACAAAATTATAAACCATAGTGAGTCAACAGCATAATGTTTTAGAGATCATTTGACCAGGTTTTTAGAGACCACCACTTCTTTAACTGCCATTCTTGATTTATTAATACTTTGATGTTTCCAAATTTTAAAAAAAAAGTGATTAAGGGTTTCTTGGAGACTAAATAACTCCAGTAGCACAAATCATTTCTTTCAGTTATAAACACTTTTTGTGAGTGAGGTTTTCTGCTTAAATTTGTCTTATTCAAAATGAATTTAAATGAGATTTAATTGATTGGTGAGACTATGTGGAGTTTCTATAAGTTACAGAAACAGTCATCAGGGACTGTGATCACTGGATAACATGCAGAGTGAGAATGAGCTTATTCTACAAAAAATGCCTGGAAGAAATGACAGTATACCCCAAGCAGTCATTTTCAATAAACTTGCCTCAATATGTTTGTAAACCCCTGAAAAGTTGCATCTGCAGCTGAGAGAGTGAGAGAGTGGGTGAGTGGGTGAGTGAGTGAGTGAGTGAGTGAGTGAGTGAGTGAGTGAGTGAGTGAGTGATACAGTCAGTGAGTGGTTAAGTGAGTGAGGGGATTAAGTGAGCTAATGAATGAGTGAGAGAGCGAAAGAGTGAACGAGTGAGAGAGTGAGTGAGTGAGTGAGTTAATTAGTGAGTGAGTGAGTGAGTGAGTGAGTAAGTGAGTTGGTAAGTGAGCAAGTGAGAGATTCAGTGAGTGAGTGAGTTGCCCCTAAAGTTGACATGTTCATTGTCTCAAAAGGGTATGCAATCATAGATTAGAGTAAGAAAAAGTAAATGTTAGACTCCAATAATAAATAAGATGCATCACTGAACATTCTTTCTTGTTTGAATGAGTCTTATGACACCTAAGATTGATCCCTCAAAAGCATGCGTGTGTGACACTATACCCTTCAATAAAGACACATTCAACAAATAATCATCCTTAGATCAAAGAGGTAAATGCATGATTTTCATGTCGTCTTGCATTGATATATAATGTTTATTCACAATGTAAACTTGTTAAGGGTTTATAAAGTACATGTAGGCCTACATGGTTTGTGTCTGTAATTTGAGGAATTGCAAAGGGACCATTATTTGACTTTAAAGCAAGTACTTTTGCACCCCCCCCCCGCAAAAAAAATAATAATAAAGAAATTCAATGAATCCATTTTCTTTTTGAAGTCAGTGTCTCACAGTAAATGCTTTGCTCTAAATCCCTAGAGAATATTAAAATTTTATATATCTTTATTTTCTTGGTTCAGAATCATTACTCACATCGTGGCTTAACACTGCAAATGAAAATACATTTCATTTAATCGGACATTATAAACGGAAACCAGCTACAGTTTTGCTTACAGGCTGTTGGGCTGTGGGGAAGATTGCAGGAACACTTCGCAACAGGCTATAATTTACTACAATGCCACCACAAGTTACAGACCACATTTACCAGTGTTTAATCAAAACTGTCTGATATCTCAGCAAATGTTGTACACACCTCAGAGAGGGCCAGTATCTGCAAGATACAAAACAATTTCATCATCCATCTAAACAAATGTATATAGATTTCTGGCAGTGTGCTCTTGCTGTAGGTTTATCGCCTGTATCTAAAAGTTATGGGGTGACAGATGTAAACTGAAAAAAAAAAAAAATTGAATGCTCAGATATGAAAGCTAAGACACTAACAGAAAACAGACATGCTGTCAGCTGGATAGATATATTTAGAGTAATAACTGAATCACTGCATGGGCTGCATTATGGACTATTCTGGGATGTGACACTGTGTACTCCTAAAAATAATGTTGTGAGGATTTATTTGCACTGATTATCTGTGGAAGTGTGGACAACAACTCTGTTTCTCTTACACACAGCCATACACACACAGAGCTATGTGTGAACAAACACACTCACTTTGCGATCCCCGAGAGGTAACTCAAACTGTGCACCTGATGCAATAGATAGCAACATCCCTGCAGACTGCCATGGTCTGTACCTCCAGGATTCACCTGCTTTGGTCTCATCAATCCCCCTCTGTACACACAAGCAAGCTAATCAACTGCAGCCAAGCGGAAATTATATTTTCCTCAATGTGGTGTTAATGTAAGTGCATTTTTCATGCATTTATTGTAAACACTCTGGGAGTTCCATGAAGTCGAAGACCGGCGGCTGATTTGCAACAGTCACAGTCATTTAGTACTTCTATTACCCACACAAGGCAAGAGCCTTACTGTGAAAAGTACAGAGAGATAAAGGTGCCTTTGAGAACTTTCCGTATCAAGTCCATTTTTTTTTTTTCATTTTCCTGAAACTTCTCACTTCTGCTTTCGACAAGATCAGCCTCAACCCTTTTAGAGCATGTGGTGAGGCTGTTGAATTCAGAAATAGCCTCCCTGGTCAGTGTACATGTGTGAGAGCAATTGTTCGCATTGTGTCCCTTTATAGCTGCAGTCTTATCTACATCTCAACAGAATAAAGTCAACACCTTTACCCCCCCCCCCCATCCTAAACCTTAACCCGACCTCTAACGGAACAATAAGTCCTCTTAAGTCACTTAAAGTAAGTCAAGGTGTTTTCTTTCCAGCAGTGGTCAAATGTGAAGTAGTAACGCTTTCATTTGAGTTTTTAGCAAATCAGGATATATAATATATATATATATATATTGGATGATTCCCTTGTTCTATTCCATGGTAACAGTATAGGCTAGTAAAAGTAGGGGAGCAGTGGCGGTTCTAGACCACTGGGGAAGCCAAACTGGGAGTTGTTTTGTCAGAGGGGAACATTAAACCCAGGTAGACAAAAATGCCAAATAATAGTGCACATCATTAAGTACCACAACAAAAAATACCATGATTTATATTTGTTTGTCTGTAACAGCATTTAATACTAGATTGTGAGTCCGGTTGTTGAGTCAAATACTGTGTATGTTATTAGGGGGGCTCTTCCTTTTGGAGGGGTGGCCACAGGGGGGGCCCCTGTTGGCCCCTGCCTAGAACCGCCCATGGGGGGAAGCATGTTGCCCATATTCATGGAAACATGTAGTTAATTAGATTCAGAACGTTGGAGGAGCTGGGCTAAGAATAAAAGGGGTATTTTTCATTGAAATAGGATAAGCCAAGGTAGTCGCTGCAGCTCCAAATTCCTCAAAACTAAGCTGTAAAGTACACCTGATATTCCCAAACAACTTGAAGTCTTTAGCGCCTTTGAGTCATATTTGATTTTGCTTTGTTTTCTTAAAGTGCATGCATGTCAGTTTTTGCTTCACTGTTAGAAAATAGACATTGGAATGGCTTAAGAAGTGCTATTATAAAATGTTAGGCAACATAGGACATCAGAGCATATATGCTAACCAATTGGCTCCTTATTATAAGGAGCCTAGTTGAGGGCCAGTTTCTTGTTTGATTGTTTCGGGTAGGCCCTTGAAGCCAATAGGCTACTTCTAATAAATGTATTTATTTATTTGTTTTAGTGAATCACATATCATGAACGGGATTTTAATAAGGTGCTTGTTTATTATCAAAGTTGTAGAATAGCAGCTGTTTAAATAGCCTTTGTTCACGGTGTTTTGTGTTGATTCAGTGAGCTGTGCCTCTCCCAGGAGCACGTCAACGCATTGTTGCCGATGATCCAAGCGAAAAGTCCATTGTTGTTGCGAAGTTTTTAATCTGAGGATTTAAAGCACATCACATGCTCGGAGCGGGCAGCGGGGCACTCCACAACAACAGGAAAAACTAGGCTGCTGCAAATATCCACGTTGGGGAGGGAAACGATTCATCCCGAACGGAGCGACCAAACTTTTCTAGGATCGCCGGAGAAGAGGCTTAAAAAGTGCAACTATAGAAGGAACTTTTCTGTATAGCCTACTCTGGTTAAACCTGACGGTCGGACATCTGGGATAAACATGACGCTCAAGTACAGCCAGAGGTCTCTCATAGTGCTGTCTTTACTAGGGATTTTATCGGCCATTATGTCCGTTTTAGCGGTCATTTTAATTTTCCAGCTCCAGTCTCAACAGATGGCAATAAAGGAGACTCCCCCGTCCACCTCCACGGTCATACCAGCTCAGGTCTGGGCCGTCCTGCTGCCCGTCTCCGCGGTGCTCTCTGCTCTGTCCCTCACCCTGAACCTCAGCTCTGTGGTGGTGTGTTTGCTGCACGGCTATTTCTCAACAGAGGTCTGCAGAGGAGAGCACGAAACGGAAAGGTATAGAGGCTTTTTTTAAATTTTTTATTAATGCAGCTGTTGATCCAAATAGTTCAGAAACATAGACCATAGTTACATCAGTTCTAAAAGCTTCAACGCACCTGTGATTGATTAATGGCTGGATACAATATCAATACGCACAAATATGACAGGAAAGCAAACCCCAGCACGGCTGTTAAAAACCGAATATTAGGCTACACAACAGAGTCTCTAACACATTAAAGGATTAATTTACAAGCACTAAATCCCAGCCTTGCTCAAATCAATTCTCACAGGAGCTGCTGCCTGAATTGGTCTGGTGTGACCAGTAGCCTAAGTGGTCAGCGTTACCTGTTAGCAAACACTGGACTAAACCAACCTAAATGACTATTACATTTGAGCTTTTATCCTGGAATTGTCACTTGTGGCCACATCCAAGAGCCACCTGGAGAGAATACTGCAAGTTATTAACCCAAATTTAAAACAAAACAAAAAGGTAAACATGCATATGTTGGCAAGTCAGAGAAAAATAATACACACAACTAGCAGCATTAAGGTTCTAATATACTTCAAGGATGGAATTACTTTGATAAAATATGTTTTAAATGCATTCAGAATCAGTAGAAGGCTGTAACACCACATTTTTGATTCGTATCATTCAATAAACACTTGTTGCTAAATGGGGAAAACAATTTAACTGTGAAGTGTTTCTGCCCATGCTCACACAATCTTCTTGAATTGTTCTCTGTAGACCACAGAAGATCCTGGTTGGCTATATTAAGTTTGTTTTTTTTTAAACTTAGTTTCAGAAGCATCAGAAGAGGCCTTCCTTATGTGTCAGAGTGCAGAGGCCGGTACTTCAGTGTTGTTGGTCGACCCCCACCTCTCACCCCCTATGAATCCCATCTAAACAATGGCCAGCGTCTCATTATGCACTCAGCACACGGCCTGTAGCTGGCTCTTTCCCACGTCGCTTTACAAATCCAACAACATACCCCAAGACCTCCCTTCTGACAGAGGACACATTCCAAGGAAAGGGGAATAACAATGAGCTAAACAAAATACACTTGTATTTCTACTTAACCAAATAATCAAAAATCTAAATGTTTCTGGACTTGAAGTTCTGTTGGGAAAACTTAAAAGTTGAGACCATGAAAAAGTTTTTTGCAAAGTAAAAAAAAAAGGACATAAAACAGTTTTCGAAATAATGATGATTTATTAAATCATCTTCAATTATACACCAATGAGACAACCAAGGCATCAATCTTGAAGTGTAAACATGCTCGTGCAATGATATTTAAACTATCACATTTGATTCCACAGAGCAGACTGGTTCCTTTTGGATAGCAGATCTATACGACATGTGGCTATAGGACTGTTCTGCCTGGGAGTTTCTGTCTACTTGGCTGGTAAGAACAATATTGTGGAGGGAAAAAAAACGATTCTGAATGATTAAGACACTGGAAAATTAGTTTGTTTACCATAAGTACATGTTAAACTTTTCTAATATGATTGCAGGGAACTTTAAGTCTTTCTCAGAAATCTAAACACAACGTCCAATACATTAGCGAAACGTTGGATTTAAACCGGGTAGGCGAAAACAGCTCGACTACTTTCTCCCTGGTCCGTCCAGTGAGTCCAAGAGAACAATGCATTCTTTGAGCAGCGTCCATGACTTGAAGTATTTTTAATGCCAGGCCTGGCAGTGCTCTGGTGCTCTGTTCCACTGAGCGGCTTGCACCGGCGGGGGTCACTGGAGGCAGCCACTCCATTGTGATGAGGAGGTGTTGCCCTTAAGACCTTACTTCAGGCTCAATCAAGAGGAAGTTGAGTAAGGGACCATAGAAGCAACACCAGCAGCTCAGAAGGGCACGTCACATCCCTGAGCTGTGCTTTTCTCCCCCTTCTTTATGAGGGCCTGAGTCCATAGTCCTTTTCCTAGAGGTAAAGAGAAAATAAGATCAAATTTCATGACTTGGAAGGTTACTAATCCTGAAGAAGTGAATTACAGTACAAAAAATAAGTGTAACAACAAGTTTATAAAATTTCCCCAAAATAAATCAATTTTTTATGAGGTATTTAAGTTGTAAGGGCCCAATATAGTTTCACACAATATCTGACAAAAGATCTTTGATAGGTATTATGTGTTCCCAAATCCTCAGTTTTAACCCCTTTATTCTCTTCCTTCACAGCTATGTCCATCTTTATGCTCCTGGTATTTGAGGTGGAGACCGGCATTGCAAGTGCTTGTGTACTCTCTTTTGGGATTCTAATCCTTCTGTTCGTAGTGACCCACTCGCTGGTCAAAGCTTCCTGCGGTGCAAAGCAATACAAGAGAGAACACCTCGGCACTCATTACGAGAACGACAATGGGAATAGCCCTAAACCTCTCTCCCGACCCTGCGAGCTCAAGATCGGCGTGGACAAACCGCGAATACACCGGAGCGAATCTCACCTCCAGCATCCAATGACCTACCCTCAATATAGTAACCCGAGACAGCGAGAAAAATACCAGCAACCGCAGTACTCTCCAGATAGAGGTTCCCAGGGCCTCACCAGCGATAAAGAAGGATACAGCAGTGGAGGCAGTGGTCCCAGAATGCATAGGACCATATCTACTGAATCTGGTTTCCTGCAGGCCCAGGCTAAACCTTGGAATGGGGTCAACAGTGAGATGAGGAGTGTCCTCGCCCGCAAAACAGGGATAACAGCAAAAGACTCCACTCTCGTGTGACAAGAGAGAAGCTGAGCATGTGGTTACAGAACGTGAGAGACAAGCTGCTACCACAAGTGTCATCTCAAACAGATGCAGAACTGTAACTTGCTTCCTTATTACCCTCAGCAAGTGTATCCTGACTGCTTGCAGTCAACATAGATAGAAATTGAAACACACCCAATTTTTTTGTCAGTGGCTATACTTTTCAAATGATAAAGCATTCTTAATTTGTTTTGAACATGTTGAGCACCACTTTGTGTAATTTGTAGTGTTTTGTATAAATGAAACTTGATTTTAAATTAATTGTAAACACAAATTCTGACCCAATTATCGCTCCCCCAAATGTATAGCTTTCATTGTAATAATGTAAATACGTTACTCTGCTGTTTTTTGCCAAATATTTGAGCACAGTGTGCACATTTGTTTTGTTGTTTGTATATTTCATATCAACCTGAAATCAATTTTAGAACAGATAATTCAGATTTAAAGTAGGATATTGTATACCTCAATAAGACAATAACATAATATTTAAAAAATATATATTTCACTTCAAATGTCATTTAGTTGTACATTTCAACAACTGAAGAAAAGAAAAAGACAAAAAAACGTTCTGAATGTGACAATATCATGTCTGGAGGAAGAACTAACCTTGGACACCTCTGTGCTGAGGTCATGAGGAAGTGGATGGGGGATGTGAAGCAGAGACAAGGGGACTGGGTAAGGGGGTCACATCACTTAAGCTTCATGCAGGTGTCATTGAGAAATGAAAGAACCACACAGAAAATCAAAAAACAGAAAACATGAATCCAGAATTACCTACAAGGAGCTCAGAACAAGCCAGTTATTGGGGAAATAATTGGCATAAAGTAAAATAAAAAAAGTTAAAGCTCCAAATATAAAAAAATACAAATGATCATAAGTGAGGGAGGAAAACAGACCAATGAAAGCAAAGGTAAAACATGCACAAATGTATGATGTGAAGCAAAGAATGAATACAAACAACATTAAACTCCACACAGATTGACTGATTTCTCTCATTTTACTTAAAAAATAAATACGTGTGTGTGTGATTTTTGTGTGTGAATGTTTTATGGTGGGTGCGGGACATGGCTTAAGAAGCAACATCCTCTTATTCTCTCGCTCTTTAAGTTATTGAGTTTAGTAAAGATCAAGATGTTCAGGCCAGGGCTGCCTCCTACCTGCGACTTTGGGAGTTACTGATCTGTTCCTTCATGCTGATGGCTTGACGGAGGAGGCCGTCAATGTTTTTGAAATACAAGCTGCTGTTTGTCATGCTCTTTACAGCGCTGCAAAATCCCAACAGAACAATGAAAGTGTTAACAGTCAAAAGAGCAGGGCGGTGGAAATCCTCCAATGTGCAAGCCTTAAGCGTCTCTTACCTGCATGCATACTCTACAGTGTAAATGGCTCCTTGACTCTGTTCCTCCCAGCTTTGCATGTCCGTCTATGTATTGAATGACAGCAGATATATTCATTAATATGCAGGGGATCAGTGGAACTTTATTATCACATCAGTGGTTGTGTTGTTTTTGGAAACTACAGTATACTCCTAATATTATTATCATAACAGAAAGAGTTATGGACAACAAAGCACTTTGTTTTATCACCAAACACAAAGTTTTCATGACTAATGTTTTTCCTTCTAATTTAAAAACAACTTCAAGCACAAAGAGAAGGGCTTTAGATGATGGAAAGAAACAAAATACTGTAAAACGTCAAATAAAGGCCCATTCTAAATTTAAGGCCCAGTCCCTTTTACTGGTCTGGTGTTATTCTACAATTCACCTAGCAGATGCTTTTATCCAAAGCGAGGTACATCAGAGAGTAAGTACAACACAAGCAAGGATCTTTTTGACTGGATTAAGACAAATGCATGTATTTGACAAATAAAGGCAGGCTTCAATCAGAGACACTCCCTGTGCATTTAATGTTGGCATAATTTTGGCTCAAAATTAAGATTAAGAAGCGGCACAACACAAAGAACAAAAAATAAAGTTGAACCACAACATCTTGTCTAAGAAAGACAGAAAAAAATGCCTTTTAAGCGTGAAGGCCATGAAGCAGGTTTGACTCATTGACGCAAAGTCCCAAAGAAAGACAGGGTCATGTTTTAGTCTGATGAATAACTGATCATTATCAGTGTGACTCTGTGGACGTCGCTGTTAACTGATTTAAAACATTTGAGGTTGAGACTGAGTCACTTTAAGACACTGAATCTTTGAAGTACATGGTGAATACCTTGTGCTGCACCAGCTCAGGCAGGGACCTGCGGACGTGCTCCTGCAGTCTGTACAGAGCCACTGACGGCTCGTTGGCCAGGACGTACATGCTCTCCGTGAATTTGTCAGTCACTAGAGGATTCAACAATAAAGTCAAATGCATGGCATACACAGCCTTTGATAGGAAAATGGTGAAAGAAGCGTGGACTGTGGCCCTAGCATTAGCTTAGTGGCTAAAGACAGCTAAAATTGCAACCTGACAACAACAACAACAATGAGGTAAGTTGCGAGCAGATTTACTAAGTTCATGTTTACCTCGTCTGACTTTAAGTTGCATCTCTTGGTCCTCCATAATGCAAACTGGTTAAAAACAGGCAGTAAACTGTGAACAATACAAAGCGGCAGCTGCAGGCGAGCCGTGTCAGCTGATTCTGTCTTGTTCCGTGTTTTCGTTGTCATGTGCCACAACGAAAACATTCCGGACAGAAATATCGATTGACTGAAAACTAGTTCTTCTGTTTTTTTCAAATAGTACCACATGCCGCGAAACGTCGGGTTGGTTAAAGGAAACGTGTTTTCACTTTGTTTTGGGATACTAATGGAATTGAATGATTAGCCAAACAACCGAGCGATGATTTGTGTCATCTTGGTTCATTTCGGTGGCCAGCAAGGTCCATCGGGTGATATAGAATAATTTACTTTCAGTTTTCTCGAAAGGAAGTTAACGCAGATTGGACTTTGTGGCTGGATGTGGTGAGTTGACTGTGTAATATCCTTTATAAACTTTGTGTGGCTTTGTTTTTTCTAAATGCTTATACTATGTAATCTTGGTTTTAATAGCAGCGAGTATGGAGGCCGAAGGTGATGAAGAGGTTGCAGATGGCCGAAATATTCAGCCATCTATCGCCAATACTTGTCCCTCCGAGTCTAGAGAGGAGGGATCCAATGGTAGGCTGCCTGTGCAATATTTTAAACAAGTAGCCTAATGCAAGAATTTGTGATCAATCTCTTAAAACACTTTGTTTTACGGAGTGATTCGATGTCTTTAGTCTTAAAATAATAAGTTACAGTGAATATTGTTATTCCACTAAAATGGTTGTGGGTCATGCGGCGGGTCCAGTGTCTCCAGAGAACATGGATACGGATGAAGATGGTTTGTACAAACACTCAACTACCCTGACCAACAAGCAGCGTGGGAATGAGATTACAGTACTGCCAGCAACATTAGACGGTGAGTACTGAAGATGTACTCAAGATGTTCTGATGATAGTCTTTTTAAAAAGTGTTTTTTAAAAAAAAATTTATGACACATTTTCATACGGAGTCACAAAGATGTATTTTCCTTCAGCTTTGTCGATACATCAGTTGGGCGGCACAAGGCGAGGTCTCACAAGTGGCCACACACCTGAGTAAAGGTGAGAAGTCTGGATGTCACTGTCAGACCCCATGCTGTAAAACACAATCTTAATCAAATGCCTTGTCCTTTTATTTTTTGCAGACAGTTCGCTGCTGAGCAAACAGGATGAGCGGGGCTTTACGCCTTTAATCTGGGCAGCTGCATTCGGAGAGAAAGCAATGGTGGATTTTCTCTTGGAAAAGGTTAGAAATAAACAACTTGCCATAAAGTCAGCATGTGTTTTTAAGAATAGAAAAGCAGCATCTCACTGATATCTGATGGTTTTTTTTCTTTTTGTATTAAGGGGGCAGACCCTAAAACAATAGCCAGGGAGAGAGAGAGTGCCCTGACACTAGCCAGCTCTGGAGGTTATGTGGACATTGTGGAGACTCTCCTCAGACATGGAGCAGACATTGACACTTATGACTGGGTACATAATGACTCTCTACGTCTGACAGTTCATGACATTTATCAATTATGGCAAACCAGTCAGATAACACATGTCTTTATAGTGTATCAAGTTTTTTTTTTATAATTAGTATTGATTTTGCTTGAATCACAGAATGGTGGTACTCCTCTTCTTTATGCTGTTCGCGGGAACCACATCAAATGTGTTGAAACACTTTTAGGTAAGCTGCAGTTATGTATGATGTAAAATCATTTGAAGCTTCACAGCATTATCAGTTAGTGTAATTACTAGCCTTAACTGTATTCTTTTGCAGCCAAAGGGGCAGACATGACCATCGAGTCTGACTCTGGGTACAGTCCAATGGCCTTAGCTGTTGCCCTCGGACACAAAAAGAGTATGTATTGTCTTCTTATAGCAGTTAGATTAACAAATGTTTTAAGTACTGAATTAACAGTTTCGTTTTGTCTCCTAGTCCAGAAAGTGTTGGAGGATCATATTCTGAAACTCTACAAGCAACCAACATGACACCACTGATCTCAGATCTACTTGGTGTGAAGACAGAGTCATCTGTTGCAGTAACAAGTCAGTCTGATAAAAGCAGCCCTCATGCAGAGATTTACACTGAGTAAACTTTTTTTTAATGAAAAGAATATTCCATTTATATGCATCCCAATGAACAAACAAGGACTAAAATACAAAAGTTGTGCAGCGGATTTTTTTTTTTTAGTTTGGCTGAAGAAAAGCAAAGGTCTGAAAACACATTTTAATAAAAATATATTTTTCATACCTTATGTGTCAGTGGAATGGTACATTAATTTAAAGGCAAATACGTAAGCATAGAGAGTGGGATGAAATCCGTAAAATGTTCCATTATAACTCAGCATCAGGCTGCATATCAAACCTTCTGGGTTTGTGTTATAAGAAGTGAGAAGTCTTGACAGATCCCTCAAGAGTCGATACCAAAAAAGGCCACATTCACATCAGTTCATGAGGTGGCAGTACAGATGTGCCACCCCACCGTCCTGTGCTTTACTCTGGGGTCATTTCCTCTCTCATGAGAGGATAATAAATGGTCACGAAGCTTTTCCCCCCAGGACGTCTAAGGAATAAACAATAATTCTCCCAAAAAAGTCAGCACTATTCTCAAACATTATTTTAACTTTGTCCACTGCAGGGGCCTCCTGTATGGGAAAGCTGTGGGTGTGGAGTTAAGAACAAGATAAGCATGGTAATAATGAAAAGCAGGTCCAGGAAAATATTGTTGGATACTTATTTAAACCATCCTCAACAGTCACAGGGAACACTGTGTGTTCCTACAGTGGCAGGTGCAGCTTCAGCTTATGCAATTAGCCCAAAGTACACTGACTAAGTACACTAAATGTTTTAATTTACTGATGCAGATTGTATTGAATACAATGTATGTTTAATTTAATTTTTAACGGTGCACATTTTCATTGGTTAACTATTCTTTGCATTATTGAAGTAGTTAATAAGATATTTCTACTGGAGAATGTAGCCACTTTAACTTAAATTCTACTTTAAGAGAAAGAACAAAGGATATCTGAAGAGAGTTGTTGTCCTCTGGATAAAAATGGCTGATTGGTGTAAAGTCTCCATCTATAGGACAACCTGCAGAAAGCACAAGTTAAGAAATACTTTTACATCATCTCGTCATCATGTCACACACATCATCTAGTCTGAAACAGAAATGAAGAACTGAAACTAGAACCCTGTAGATATCTCACTGTACTGTATCAATTTAAGTCATGCAGGAAGAAATCTGTAGGTTTTACCTTCTAGCCTGCAAGTTTTTGCTGAGAAGCCGCCCTGGAACTGGAGCTTTAGCTCTGACACCTTGACAGACTGGGGGAACTCCAGAGACACCCACTGATATTCACCCTGTTAAACATAATTTACAATACAAACAACGTTATTAATCTCACTGCAGGCAATCTGTTTATAGCAGCTTGTAAAACACATTAAAAAAATGTACAGGACGATATTCAAATTATGAAGATTATGAGTCAATTTAAGTTTAAATACACAACACCCAGGGGCTAATAAGATGTCTTTAAGTTTCATAAGCACATTTGTGTATCTCTGTTGCAGCTACATAGGCTTCGCATATAAAGTATGATCAGAAATTGACTAAATTAACTCTACTCAAAACAATGAATGTGCCGTGGAAAAACTTTTTTAGCATGCTGTACACACTGTTCTCTCACAATGCAAAGCATAATCTGCAATCTCGACAAATACTTAGAGAAATGATTGATGGAGGGGAAACACACTCAGGACAAACTCTTACTTTCAAATTAATGGAGTGATAATTAAAGCATTTTATGAGGGTTTAAAGTGTATGCTGTGTGAGTTTTACTTGGCATTCCGAAGATGCTGTATCTTTATTTTAATTTTCCTTTGGTATACAACAACGAAGTATGTTGATCCCATGTATTTTTAACTGTATTTACACTATAAACATAGACGGTTTTACACACTGTAGCCTAATAGTAAACATGTGAGCCTGTGACACAGCTGTTGTGTTACCTGGTCTGAGTTCCAGCAAGTCTCTTCATTGCAGTCAAACATGAACTTCTTTCCATATTGCTTCACATCCCTGTTTAACACTGAACTAACCCTGGTAGGGAGGTGACACAACATGTTAGTTTACACCTCTACTAGGTAACAACATGAGGTTAATACAACGCTACAGCAAAACACGAGTCGTTCCGTCGTTACTTTCACAAGCGATGTCTTAACACATCATTTTTTTGCATGTTCAGTTTTGTCTTTACCTGATTTGAGTTTCACTACAAACCAATGAGGACGCCATGCCGAGTCACACACATTGCCGTCAAGCGGAAGCGGCAACCGTAGCAACAACGAGGTGTAGGCCTGTTTTACGACAGTGACACCCATAAGCTGTTGTTTCTATTTTCACCACCAGATGGGGGTCACGTTCCTTTAAAACATGAAATATTATGAGGAAACTTGAGGATTATTTCCATCTTTACCGCTGATCCCGACGACTCAACATTAAGTATTCACTGCATAAAAATATTAAATTACAGGACACACGTCAGGTCGATAAACATAGTAAGATTAAGAATTGGGGACTATGGACTCTGGACCATATAAAAAGTGTGTTGATAAGCAAAATAAAACTACTACAATTCTACAATTCATTTAGCAGACTATGGTTTGTTGATACTGCCAATGTTTTGTTGTCACAGATGATTGATAATCCTGTTGACACAGTTGAGTGAATAATCCTTAATAGCTTGAGTTTTACTGATTTTATTAGTGACAATGTTGCCTTATTAGGAAAGCAGCTAGCCTTCATATAGGGAAAAATATGTATGTTTGTGTGTTTGTGAGTAAGGGAGATAGAGTAGGCTATTTGGCTTATTGCAGATGGAGAGTTCCTGCTGGACTTTGTCACAGTGTCTCCTCACTGCAGATAATCAATGGGTCTAAAAGACAAAATCTGATGAAGCCCAGCCATTGTGAAAATTGCACATGGGGCTGGGGGAGAGTGACTGGGTAGTTACATGTACCCAACCTTCCCCATACTTTGAGTTTCAGGTTCAGGTTCAGGTTACTTTTACAGGTTATTTGTACCCGTAGGTAGATTTGTTTACAGCCAGCAAGATCGACATCCATCATGACACACAGATTACAAGACAAATGTGACAATGGAACAACACATAAGAGAGGAGATCTAAACCCTGCTCAAACATGTAACTAAAAAAATAAAGTTTGTAGCCAGCAATTACATTACAATGTTGACTCATGCTGCAGGTTTTAATTCCCCTGTCAATTGTTAGAAATGAATACAGAATTGGAATTTTATGCTTTCTTAAAAAAAGTTATGTCCCATATATGAGAATGACTGTGAGGTGTTGTAAATCATGGTTGGGGTTGTAGAGTTATAAATCAGAAAAAGCCAGTTATTTTGCCTTGTTACTCAGATTCTGGCAAGAAGTTATTTTGGACTCCAACTGGCACCCTGATGAGCTGAAACAAGCTGGTAGGATAATGTTTGCTGGTTCCATAAAGGTGCCATGTTTTTTGTACTCCTGTGGCCTGTTAATAATCTCAAGGTGTAGCTAAGATCTAACTGATAAAACGGACCGACCAACACTGTTTGAGGACAGACAGATTCCATTCTCCTTGACTGATGGACAATATACCTTTTGGTCAGTTTGAGAGACTTACACACTTCTGCAACTCTGAGGAAGTTTTGGGAGGAATGACCACGATATGAGCCAAAGACGTAAAGAAATAGGACTTCAAGACAGCTTACATCTTTAAAGCAGTCTTCAAGTCAGATTTCATTTTGTGGCATGGCGAAGAAAAAAAAGAAACTCTTAACCTATTATAAAGTGACTGTTCTCCAGAGTTCTCCCAGATGCCCCTATCATCAGCTTTAGAAGGGACACTGACACTGAATGAAAAACTGTTAACTCCCCTTTGTAACACAGAACATCTGGTGAGGCATAAAAGCAGAAGGTAACGAAAAGTCTGGATGTTGAAATCACAGGATAATATGACTAATACGATGGTAACATTGGCAAAGATTCTGTAAACAATCATCTGTGAAGATTAATCAGTAAGATATAAAATTTAAATAGTGGACGGAGCTGTGCAGCTGTCGTGCCCATATGGCTGCCTCCAGCTCTTACCCCTCTGATTATCTCATTTAGAAAAAAATATCAGGATTCTGATGATCACAAGGGGAGGGGCTGACTGATAGAGCTGTGTATTTACTTACTCCATCAGGGAGGGATACATGATGGAGTTTTCACGGTTCAACAGAAACCTTAGGGGATGAAGATAAAAAGAAAACACTCCTCCAGGAGGAGCATTTTAGAGAAACCACTATTTAGAGAAATGTCGCTGTACTTGACCCTTGGAAGAAAGGATGTATTATGTCTCTTAAATCTTATCATTCCTTGGGGCACTGGTGGTGGAGTGGTTAGTGCGCGCACCCCATGTATGGAGGCTGTAGTCCCCCTAGAACCTAGAACAGGTTTTGTAGGTTTAGTTCAGTGAGCAGATGATACCATAGCATTCAGGCATGAAGCAAGCAGCCATACCAGCTATAATGTTGGCTTTTCATGTAGGTGCTTCTTATCAACTTGATTTAAGGTGGTACATAAAGAAAAAGAAGCCCATTAGAGTAGTTGTGCTACATCACACACACATTGACAGACCAGCTGCTAGAACTCAATGGTCTTACCCGGACACTAGAAAATTGTTCCCTTTCATGGCAAAGCAAACATGCAAAACAAAATCGTCGACTAGAATGACGTTGTGCCCCATTTATTATTCATAGAGCTAATAAAGCTGACTGCTGCTGTTAATAAGCTGCTTGAAACTGTCATAAGACAGCTGTGATGTGATGTAGTGCAGACTGAATAAAATATCAGTCTGTCAGTGCAACAACACACGCTGAAATCAAAACTGAGTTGAGAGGAGAAGCCTTGAGATCACAGATGTAGCAAAGACTTAAAAGTTATATGAAAATATTATAATTTCCTTGTTTTTTTGTGTGTGGAGAGAATAACCATAGATAACAATTCATTGTGTGAATAGTCCTACTTATGAATGACTGTTTTCACTACAGGAGCTTCTTGTCTGGACACATCATTAGTCAACATTGGGTAAAGGAATTCACACATTAAATGTAATTGAGAGTAAATTCCTAATTGGTTCCACCACTGGGGGTATTTGGGGGTAACAAAATGTGTCTTTGAAGAAGTTATGAAGGGAACCATGCAGGAACTATTTCATTAAAAATCTGTACTGTAGGAATATCTGCACAAGGTCCGTTAGCTCAAAGATCAGCATTTTACAGTGATGGCCTTCTTCCACCATTAGTTTCTCATTGAAGATGGTTTGTTCAAGTCGACCAATTTTCAGAAGTGACAACTTATTTAAATCAGACTCACTCTCCAGATTTCTCCCTCTGTGCTGTCCCTTTGACTGGTCTAAGTCTCATTTATCATGTTGAGTAGTATAATGAAATGACAGATGAAGTCTCTCTCAAGATGCCATTCCATACATTCCTCAATGCTATGCTTGATGTCTACAAAAGAAGTCCATTATGGGTGTATAACACTTTATATTTTACTTGTCTTAACATCTGCTGCATCAGATAGTATGTGTATTTTCCACATAATCAATTTCAATGTTCACTTTTTTCAGGGTCAACGGCAAAGAGTGCTAAAGCTTATGAAAACTCCATCAGTTAGAAAGCAGCAGGGTGCATCGCTAACGACCAAAATGTCATCCAGCAGACACCATCAAATGGCACAGAGTTTTCAATTTCTTTATGTTACAACTTTGACAAAAGGCCAAATGCTATTATTATAATGACCAACATTACATAAAGCTAAAGTACCATATAAGACATCACATATTTTACTGACATTATTGTTGACTGGACATCAAATATTTTAGCTGCTTTTACTTTTCACACTCTAAATATAACGTGGTATATTCATAATACACTGTTTTAAAATGTCAAACAAGGTGTTTGTGCATGCTGAATAGTTCGACATGATGTATCAAATCGCTAATGTGTTGTGTTTTTTTGCATCCATAACAGATGTGACTGTGTCGTCTATAAAAAGAAAAACAACAACAGAGTGAGAAATAAGCAGAGAAATGAGCAACAAAGAAAGCCAAGAATTGTCTCTCACGTGCTCTCTTTAAACTGTACTGCTATAGAAGAAGCCCAGCACACTGCTCATTACTGCTCATAACTCAAAGCTGCTGGAAGAATCAATAACATTAGACAGAAAATATACAGTTCTGTGAAAGACTGTTTCTGTGTCTGACATCAGATGAAGTGATCTATTATCTATCAATTATGCCAGTCATTGTCAGGATCCAGTTAATCAAATGGGACATTTTGCTACTTAAGTTTTTGCCCTTCGATAAAACAAGACATTTGAAGATATAACTTACCCAAAGTTACATATTGTATACTATTTTATACAATACAAAAATTAATCTCAATTGAAATGATAATGATACCAGGGGCATGAAATAATGTTCAAATTAGAAATACCACAGACTGTCAGTTTGATCAGTGCTACTCATCCCTCTTCTCTAGCTCATATTTTCTTCTTAGTTTTCCTCTGCCATTATTGAATCAAGGGGAAAATGAAAACAATTGGATGTTTTGGTCATTAAAGTATACATGCATTTTTGTATTAAAGTTCTGTTTCATTTCTACCTTGCTGTTTAAAACTCCATGGTCTGTTAAAGAGTAGAAAATACTCTGAGATGTAGTGCAGCCTCAGCATTAGTTCTATATAAAGGTTCATTAATCAACCCACAAACAAAGACAAGGAGGCAGAAGAGTTGATGGGTCTTATTTTATGCCGTGTCTCAGTTAAGTATTTACCATTCAGGTTACCATCCCGAATATTTTTATAGTTCGTAAAGAGTGAGAGGAAATGGCCTGTGTCTGAGGTGATTTGCAGAAGCTACAAGAGACAAAAAAACAACAACATAAAAACATTACTTTCCTCTGAGCTCCAATTTTATTTGAAGACATGCATAAACATCGTAATTTTATTATCAGAAAAATAAAATGTCTGAAGTGTGGTAGTTTGGCTTTATGTTACTTTCTGAGCTTAATTTCTGTTTTCAAAACCATAAAGTTTCCTTGAGGAATATTCTTCTCAGTATTATTGTCTAGTGTATCTTCATATTCTGTAAATGATGTGTGCATTAGTTTGATTAAAGATAAACCAGCAGAATAAAATCTCTTATCTGCCTTGTAATGACTGACAGCAGCAAAATTCAGTTAAATCCTCTGACCTGTCTTTACCTACAGAGATACAAAATCTTTAATGTGACTTTTAATAGCCATATTCATTCATGTTGCGTTCCTGTCACTGTTTGCAAGTGTTTTAAAAGCAAACATCTGATTCAAAAGCTTGAATGGTTGTACATCAGTTCCAGTTAGCCAAGCAATTAACTGAGTGGATCACTTCTTTGGATTCCTGCTTCTACCTTCCTGCCATCATTGCACTATGGTAATCCTCACTGCATCAATGACTAGGTTACTTGTGCTGTCTGTGCAATACAGTAAATCTCTGAGTGTGTTCTCTGTCAGGATGACCTCAGATGGATGGAGCTCCTGATGGATAACTCATTACGTTTTTGACACAGTAGTTCATTAGATTTAAACAAGGACAAAGTGTGTTTGACCAACCGGCAGATGTCTTCATACTGCCTGACCTGATCATAATGTCTGAAGAGCTGCCGCTTATCAGCTCTGCTGGAGATATAAAGACTATAGGCTGTTGCTTTCGGATACTCTGAGGTAACCTTTAGTTAAAATGCAATGCTGGAGCTCAATTATTTTAAAAGTGATGTCATTTCTTATCTCATTGCAGGTGGATGGATGAGCTTTTTTGCAGCTCTTTCCTTTCTATTTGGTTTCTCATGAAAATAGCAATCATGCTGCATGATAACATTGGTGTAATAAAAACTATAAAAAAAGAAAATCAGCTTACTCGATTCTGTCCAAATATTGGACAATGGGCTCACTCAATTTCACTGAACACAATGGATGATTTCCAAAATAAATAGTCATTTTTCACAGAAGACACCTGTCTGCTGAGTTTATCTCCCCTGTGGTGGGTATACCGGGGGGGGGGAGGCTCCGAATTGACAGTAAAACAGTCTGAAATGCATTGTAATGGAAATCAGACAGACACTTATGGCGGCCATTAAAACAGGAAGACTCTCATAGCAGATTGAGAGGGTGATCTTGGGGGATCAATTGAATTGACCCAGAACAATTATGCTGTTGCCATAGTTACAGACTTACAACTCCGATCCCCAGAAATCTAAACCCCGGCCGTTCTCCCACCCTACCCCAATTGCAACATAATCAGAATAAATCTCCCAAACATTCTCCACATGTAATGTTTCTTCATCTCTCAGCCTGTGGGTTCTTTCGACTGCTGGCCCCCTCTCCTCATGCTCTGCTCCAATTACAGCTGTCTGCACAGAATGAAAAAGCAGCTTATCAGGCAGCAGCAAAACACGTCAACATACACACACAAACAGTGCAGTGCAAACAAGCAGCATCTAATCCCATCAACATACAGAAAGTCAATTTTGTTTGCATCCACTGACATACGCTGAGCTACACTATAACAACTTACCTGATGCTGTCAACAACACTCACATGTGAGACACACTTGACCCTTTCACCTGTATACACACCAAGTCATAATGCAAATATGAGGTCCTTAATGAGAATTCTATCGATTTTTGATTTTTAGAAAAATCACTCAGAAAAGAGTCTATGGATGCCATGGCACTTTGACATAGTGTATGACTCTTCTTACTTTGAAGATCACCAAGGAGGAGTAGGAGGATGAGGGAGCGTGTGTGAAGTGCTGCTCTGATGCTCGGCTGCTCATGTTCATAAGGTGTGTTGCTGTAAATATAGTAAGACAACGAGATGAAGAGAATGAGAGGTGGGTTCATGGGCAAGCTTGCTGGGATACAGAGTGTTAGTTCTTCTCCTTGTCTAGACAGATAAAGCCGGAGAGAGGTAGAACAAGAACGTGTTAGACTTAAAAAATAAATAAGAATATGACAATCCTGCACCACTGGAATAGTATTAAATCTCACTTAAACAATACCTTCTGATAACAGTATGTAACAGCGTGGCTGATATTTTTTTTTCCATTGTTGAACTTGTAATTTCAAGTAAAATGTCCTTATCCATGAGATCACCTGCCATTCCTCATGACAACTCCTATGATCACGACATAAAACGATAAGCTCTCTTATTATAATACCAGGGTCTCCTGTGGCCCATTTCCCCACCGGGCCCGGTATGTGGTTGTGGTACTGACGGTGTAGGATAACAGGTCTGAGGTTCTGACTGCTGGAGCATGAAGCAGAACTAGACACACTCCATGAACCTGCTCATCACAACGCTGCACATAGAGTCAGGGACACAAAGCCTGAGGGAACCAAAGAAATGCAGTTCTTACACGCTGAGTTCAAATGTGCAAAACATTAAATGTCATACACCTGCTATGGAGACTATTACCTTTGTTGTATTGTTTTATTTTGCCTTTATAAAGAAGTTCTGAATATTTAGAACTTAAATTTTATACATGTTCTCACATTTTGATTTTTTTTCTCTCTGTAACATTCCCAGCAAACCTTTTGAATATAACCCGAAGTATTTCCATAATCTTCCAGTCATTCATCAATCTGTCCAACTGTAAGCTGTTAGGCATGTTGGTCTGCCTTTACCCTGACTGGAAGCAAAAGAAAAATCCCCAAACCAAAAAACATGACATGCTTTCATCATGAATGAATAAATTACAAGTATTTGAAATAAATTATTTACAGCTTTGCCTAATTGTGTCAATCAAATTTGATCGAGTTTTCCGACATACAAGAATGGTGTCTGTGGCTTTAGCTGGTCATGTCAATATCATCCAATAACCAAAGACGTGATGTGAACCTGGTCTCTTTTTCTAGTTCATTTAGATAAATTAATCCATACTTCTGTGGCCAAAGTGGGTTATTTATTTATTTCAGGTCCCCACTAACGTGCCGTGGGGAATAGCACTCCAAGAAAGTTATAATGTAAACATTAAGACACTCGAAAGATAACATATGTTCATGTACCAACCTATGAACAGCAGATGTGGTTCACAATCAAAGCATACAGAGTTTCTTTGACACAAATCTTTATTTTATAAATTGTAGGATGTTCTTAAAGAAATGTGTTTCACAGTACTGAAGTGCAAGAGGTAACTGCAACAAGGAGCAGGGCTCACCAAAAGAAACCAACACACTACACACCAAATCAAAACCTTCCCCGTTCTGTACAAAAGGGGACAAACAAGGGGACACCATTAGAAATGCAAGTAGTTCTTACCCTTTTTGTTTGCTTCACCCTTGCCTGTTGAACAGCCATCTTACCTGTATTTTCCAGAAGCAATGATTTTAAAGTCTTCCTGTTTGGTATAGTTTTATAGCAAGTATTGCCAATTTATTGGGTCTCTCCCGTTCATTGTGGAGCAAAAGTATTTATTATTTTTGGTTCACTGAAGGATCCAGCCACAGTTACTCCTGTTCAGTCATTTAAGTGTTAGCCTCCTAGTTAACGTTGTCTGCTTAGCCTGGCTGGGATCAGCTTCCTGAGCTGACATAAAAAAAAGTTTGTAAACACTCATTTGTGCTGGGGTCAATTGGCCTAACCAGCTTTCTCTTTTTCTTCTCTTCTCTCATCCTGACAATATTCACTCTGATATAACAAGCAGAGCACTTAAAGTCACATTGAGCCTGCCCAAGATGTACATTTTTATATTTAAGTTCAAAATAAAAAGTGGTTGCCATTGCTTATATTTAGGATGAATCATGTAATTGCTGACCTCAACGGACCCCATATGGACAGCCTTGAAACCAGGTAAGAGACACAAGGAGCCGAAGTACAAACACAAGCTCCACCCATTAATTAGTGAATCCTGAAGGACGCTAACTAAGTGGCTGCGGCAGAGCGAAGAAAAAGTACCCAACGTACCACATTTCAACAACCGCTATGTGTCATTTGTGTGAAAAGTGCAAAATTGTAATTGTAATTTATTAGTAAAACAGAAAGAGGCAGATATTGTTGCTATCCTAAAGAATAAAATGCATACCCATTAAAACAGATTTATATGTCATATATCTATGAAAAGAAGAACTGAAATCAAAGGTTCAAATTAACCTTTAATGATAATGGGATTGGATGTTTGACACAACAGGAGTATTTTAAGATGGTTGGACACTTAAAATTGTCAGATGTCTGATGTGCTCAAACTAAATTGAGACATTGTGTGTTTTCTATTCAGCAGGTGGTCTAAAGTAAACACCTCACACTGACAACTCAAACGGGGAAAACAATCAAATAAATACATTTCAAATGTCTAGATTAAAATAAATGGGGGGGGGGGGGCTACTAATTTTGAACATTTCATGCTGTCCATGGGTTGTGTTAATGTCCTTGTGAAGCCCGGCAGGCTCTGGAGTTTACATGATACAGGCTGACTCAGAGAGCCAGGGGTGGACCTAATGACAGGGTGGTGTGGTGCAGGGACAGGGCAATTATCAAAAGTGTATTCACACAGATGTGTTCAATGAGTGTGTAAAACACTCAATTAGTCCTTTTTGTCTAGATTGGAAAGCAGACACTTTGCCTAAATGGTATCGATATACAAAAGGCAGCTCTGATTGGCATGTAGCATTATGGATCATTTAGTCTATGTGGAAGATTTGGCATACCACGTGCTCTGCAGGGAGCACATTTTCAGAGAGCACGCTGATCTGTTTGGCTCAACTTTTTCTGTTGGGAGAGTTGAATTTAAACCTTATGAATAATATAATCCCAGAGGGATCTATGTTGCAGGTGATGCTGACAATTTGGGGGTCCAAGTCTTCAAACTAATGAACAAGAACATCAATTAGCCTACATTTGCTGTGAGGTTTCTTTTCTTTACTGTCTTTGTCTCATTATTTAGGTTAAGTCAAAAATGTGTATTCACATGATTTTTACAAGGCTGTGTTGATACAATATACTGTATGGTTTATAAAAAGTGTTGCTGAATGCAAATGATCCCAGAGTGTGCACAAGCATGTGGGATTTATCAACACTGATTACATACTGATGAGCCTATGACCGGCATGTGCATGTGGATAAATATGAATTTATTTTTTACTGATTAACATTATACAATTTATTGGTATGACAGAATCTAGAACATTTCCTACACACTGTACAGGATGGCCCTTGTCTATAAGGTTAGAAGAATTTCTGTAGGAAATGGGGCAATAGGGATAGGCAAACTTCAGTCTGTAGCAAAGGAGGCGCTATTTTGGTTCAGAGGTGGGCGATGTTGTGGCCTCCCTCTCTGTGGCCATGTCTCTTGTGCTTCCTGTGCAGCCGCCTGCCCTTGTGGTGGTGGCGCCGGTGACGATTGGCTTGTCGAACTGTTGGAGAAAACAGAGAGTGCGTGACAGACAGCGAAATAGAAGAAAATAAGGTCTAAATACAACATCTACGCAGGTGGACTAGTGGTGAGTTTGCATGCTCCATGTACAGAGGCAGTAGTCCTTAAAAGTTGGTGGCCCGGTTCAAATCTAAGCTGTGGCTTCTTTCCTGCATGTCATTTGCAACTCTCTCTGCCATATTTCTGACTCTATCCACTGCCTTCTCTCTTTAATAAAAGGCATTAACCCCTCCTAAAACATCTTAACAAAAAAAAGTCAGAGCTTAAATAAGGTGAAACGGAGAGAATGAGATGAATCACTGACAGGCATCAGAAACATTCATACACGGTCAGAGTGTTTAAACCAGGGAAAAGTTGAGGGAAAAGAGCTGATGATGTAAAGACAACAATTATTACGTCATATATGACAGCCTCGGTAGGTTAATGAATGGCCAACTCACTTAAAAATGTGTGCTAAAAAGTAAAACCTAAAAAAAATTAAATTAAACACCTCAAGCAAGAAGCACTTCAAAGGAGACTACCACATAATGAAACCCAGAGGATTATTATTCAGTCTGCTTGCAATTATTAATAATGAGAGCAGTCATGGCAAGCCTGAATCATGTTAATGAAGGAGGTTTGTTTTATGGTACTATGGTGTGTGTGTGTGTGTGTGTGTGTGTGTGTGTGTGTGTTAAAAATAAGAAAATGTAAAAGAAAAGGTGCACCAAAACAAGGGAAAGAATCACTACCTTAAACCACAAATTTATTAATAATAATATTTGAAAAACAATAAGATACAATATTGCTGTTACTAGGAAACAGACTGCTTTTTTGCAGTATTGTCTCATGATCTTATCCCTTTGCTATATAGACACTTTATACTCTAATAATTAATCAATCTATGAATTTAATGTATGTCTATGTTTTATAGGACTCCTGCTGTGCTGTTAATAGGTTGAAGTGCCTATGCTTAATATTTGTCACTGTATTTGTAATAGTTCTTTTTTTAAAGTGGGGTATGAGATATGGAGCTCAGTGTAAGTTCAAGCAGGAAGACTGATTATATTCTTACACATTTATCCAATTTCTTCATTCAACTTACCCACTCCCTCTCTACCTCTTCCTCCGTCTCCCTGCTCAGGTGATCAGCTGATTTGGGGCGTTTACTCTTTAAGTAGTAATCCCACCCGACTCTGCCACAACCTCACTCAACCAATCGTCCTGCTGCATTCAAATTTTAAAACCTTCCACAGTCAGTTTGTCATTTCAGGCGATCGCTGCGACCCTCCTCCGCCCCAGTCACCTCCATTCCAGCTCAGCAGGGTTCAGATACCGCCTCAGAAACCCACTCCTCATCACATCCTGCATTCTTCTATCACCACCACCACCAGTGTCTAAACTCCATAGGGGGGTATCCTATCCTGCTGTTGGCCTCATTACTCCTCCAGGTAAATGAAATCGTCATGATGGAGTCTAATCCTCCAAAGACTTTGCACATTTATTTCCTAAATTGTTAAATTAATAAATTGTCATTCTTAACTAAGTCTCTCCTGATTGAACTGTCAATAGTATCTGTTTACCTACAGGAGACGCCGGTCAGCTTGGCTCCTTTATTGAGAAACCGGTTGGAGTGCTAGCATGGAAACTAGACAATAAATCACTGTAGACAGGGTCAGTTTTTTATGTAATTTAGCTAATTTGAAGAAAACAATACCTAGAAACCAATAACTGTGTAAGCTGTAGTTAGAAATGTGTCAGCCTTTAATTTGCTGTCAGCAAACACCTTTGTTTGAGCATTACTTTGTGATGCACCAAATATGTGTTTGTGGACCGAGTATAAATTCTGTCCCTAAATGATTTACAATAAAATTGATCAAAAGTGACCTTAGGGTGCTGGTGGCACAGTGGTTAATGCGTTCGCCCCATGGATGGAGGCTGTGGTCCTCCAAGTGGGCGGCCAAGGTTCGAATACGGCCTGTGGCTCCTTTCCCACATGTCATTCCTTACTCTCTCTCTCTGATTTCCAGCTCTATCCACTGTCCTGTCTCTCCATTAAAGGCACAAAAAGCCCAAAAATAAATCTTCAAAAAGTGATCAAAAGTGAGTACTTTGAGAATAAACGAACACCTGCTACCTCAAATCCATGTGAACCTAACTTTTCACCCCTGTACCTTCTGCACAAAAGTGGTGGTTATTCATAGGCGGCTAATGACTGTCTTTAACAAACAAAGCTCCAATCACACCTGCAAACCAGAGAGCAGCTGGCTAAAGTAATTCAAATAAATTTGTTTTTTTCCCCCTCTGGCTTCCAAAGTCCATTTCAACAATGACAGTTTAACTCCACACAACGTGTATCCAATAATGATTACTTTACATAGCACAGGAAAAATCTGCTTTAGGCTCTAACAACATCATTTCCCAAAACACTCGGAGAACAATCTGAGTATGTCAAGTAAAATTATACTTCCTGCCTTCAAAATGATAGAATAATTTTGTAATACCAACATGCCCTGTTTTGGGTATATAATTTTCAGACATTGCTGGAGGAGCTGTAAGGCAGGCCTGAATGACTGTCCCAATCAAAATGTAAACTGAAGCTTTGCTACGGTTTTCCATTACATCTTTATTTTGTTCTCCGCTTCTGTTCTGCTCCATTGATACAACTGCCAAAGCAGGAATCTGAAATGGCCTTAGTCATATGTATAGCCTATATGTGTGCTAAAATACAGAATTCTGATTGGGATAAGGACCTTGGCACGTTTTAATCATCTGAAAATATCTAAATAACAGAATATGAAACCAGAGCAGCACAGTGAGTGATCCCTCTGTGCCGATGCGCTTATTGAGCTTTTTAAAGCACCTTTTACAGATGTTAGACACTGGCTAGATAGTTAAGGATGACTATTTTCATAATTTTCAATAATTTTGCAGAAAATCAGGGTTTGGGGAAATCAGAAGGTTTAACAAAGTTCAAAATGTGTTTGATTAAATATTAAAGGATTGTATGAGGTTGTTGTAGGATTAACATGTCCAGCTCATTTTCTTAAGATTTTCACAATCGCCTGTTCACATGACAGTCATCAACATCTGCATGCCACTTCACCCTGACCTTTCCCTAAGTGACTGATTAAGGTGTCTGACAATTGCTCACATGGTGCTATTTTCACCCAATTAAACCTAGGGGTGCAGCTGAGCAGACAAACAGATCACATTAGCTGTGAGTTTATAGAAATAAGGTGGAGTACACTCAGCATGGAGCTGATAAACTCCACTGATAAGTCAACACATGGTTACTCAGGTTATTCAGTATTAAAACAAAAGTGGCCAACAGGGAGGAGAAGGTAAATGAAAAGATGGTGGTGATTGTACAGTTACTGAGTGATTTTGGTCAGAGGTTGGCTTGATGCTTAGAGCTTGTGTCAGTGTGCATCAAAGGTGGTGCAACGCCAGCATGTGACAGAAATAACTTTATTTTAATACAAGACCAGGGTGGATGTTTTAAGAGACATGTTTGTTGCCTGAGGCTTCAGACGTGTCTCTTTACTTATGGGTTCTGATAATAAACCATCTGCTAAAGCAATTAATTGATTTACATTAATGACCATCAGAGGGCTTTTAAGATTTTAAAGTTAGACACATCCAACATGAGGTAACATCAAGGGACAATAATAAGTGTCACTGAAAATAAAGCCCACAGATACTAATACAGACTGCCCAGTGTCCATTACATTTAAGAATATAGCCAAGGATTTTAGCAGAGAAAATAAGTAAATGAATGTTTTCAGCCTACCTATAATTGATGTCGAGCATACAGCACATTAGTTAACATAGATCCTGTCTGACAGTGAGCTTTACACTGTCCAAATAGGGCCCAATGACTTTAATTATAAGCAGGTTTTTTACATAAGGACCCAGTTTTACAACTTGTTCAAAAACTTGTCAAACAGTGCTCCAGGGAAAGGTTTGTATTTCTTGTATTTTTGAATTTCCAACCCTTTAAATACATTTGCCTTCCTTACATCGAGTCACAAGTCTGACCTGTATGCAAATGTGTGGCAAACATAAGCTCTAATAGGCTCTCAAAGGAGAATGTGATTTGTCTAACTTCAGTTCAAAGTAGGTGCAGCGGCAGCATGGGACATGTCAGGGAGGCACCAACGTATATACGGGAATTTAACAACCCAATAAGTTATCTGACCTTGTTTTGCTGAGCATAAGTTTCCTTTGCCTCACGATATACTCTACTTTACTTTAAAGGAGCATTTGGCAGAAGAAATGGAGCTGAGACATTAGAGGTACGTGAAGAACTGTTTAAAGACGAGCTGGAGGGTGATGGGAGATGAAGAAGAACGGGCTGTGAGCAGCGATGAGTGTAAATCTGGACTGAGTGAAAGGTTCAGAATAAATCTCTCCCGCTGCAGAGAGCCATGTATAAAGTAAAGTGTGACATACCCAGGATGTTCACAATCCTCTGAGGGTTCAGGCTGTCACTCTCTGTGCTTTAACAAGATGAGGCTGCAACACTTGTCAGCTGCTTTACACAACATTTAAAGAAACATTTTGTCACTTTTATTCCCTTTCTATTTTATGACTGGGCTTCGTGAATATCAGACTAAAAAACTGACAGCATGGTGAGGTTGTTTTTGCTAAATCTCTCTCTTTTTTTTTCAGTGTTCCACTTTAATATGCTTCTTATTTCTACTTCCTTGTCTTTCTGAAAGTCATCCTATCCCCCTGTTGAAGTTGCAGCATACTATATGCCACTCTCTCCTCTCTCCCTGCACGTCTCTCCTCCACCAAGTTGTTCTCACCCATTTCCTTCTTGCAGACATAAGGCAGGTTGTAGTTACAGGGCACATCGTTCCATTTGCCGTTCTCATGAGCGATCATAACCACACAGTCTTCTCCTCCAGCAAAGAAGTTGTCTGGCTGGTTCTCCCGCCAGTTCTCATATCGCTGCACATACAAACACAAAAACAGACAGTGAGGGAAACGAATACAACACCAGATTTTAAACTGAAACAAAATTGTCTTGATCTTGTCTTGTCATTGATCACATCTGCTGATAATCAATTGTGCAAAGAATGTTCAATCTTTCCTCGTTTCCTCATAATGTTTCCTTCCTTTGAGGTTGTGTTATGTCTTTGATTTTGTGTATATTCATAACAAATATGACAACCACCCTAAAAAGCAAAATTGCTTCCGGGAGATAGTCTGTCATTATCAGATGAAAAAAGATGTATTGTTGTAAAAAAAACTTCAGATAAAAAGGAGGTTTGAGCACCTTCAAACTGATACAGTTCTTGTGGAAGTTGAACTCCACTGGGAGTCCACTGAGAGACATTTGACTAAGACACTCAACACACACAGCTGCTTCCTCACCAGGTCCATCTTGTCGGTCCACTGAAAGTCATCCTCCACTGTTCGATCATTTAACCCAATCCATGTGTTGTCATGGCTCAGACCTGGATGTGATGCAACGTCAGGAGGAAATGAAGACAAAGAAAACATGTGAATAACTCAGAGTAGCTCCTCTAGAAGAAATGAAAAACCAATATAACTGTTTTATACTTCAGGTGCTCTGGCCTTGTGAACTGACCATTACTGAAAAATCAGTAGAATGCGCATTAATGTTACACAACGTTTAAGAAATGCTTTCTCTCTAGCTTCAGCTAAGGGATGAACAAATATGTTGTTACATTGTTTACTTTCATTCAGAGGTGATAAGAATCCTGGTTGCATTAAAAGGAAACATAATGAACTGTGCTTGATGATTCTTGTGTATGTGGGCAGCTATAAGCACTGTGCTTGTGTGAATGTGGAAATGCGTGGACTCGTGTAATGGAATTTTAATCATGGTGCATCTGATTAACATTAATAGCAGGACCATTAATCTTATTTAATGCCTCTGATCGCTTATTCCAGGGCTGGAGATTAACTATCTTTGATGAATTTAAACCCACTTTTGATAACTGAGCTTGTGTAGAAGGAAAATGGCAATAGGCATAGTTCTGGTAATTTTCCGAGACGAGGTTGATCAAATTCTACAGTGGCTCTAAATTGGTGATATGGCCTAAATACTATACAGTACATACTGCTACGGGTCCAAAAGTTAAGAAAGAGGAGTTGAGGGTTATGAGCGCCCAAAGACTATGAAGATTAATGATTCCTGGCAGAGACAAACTGCTCTCTGTGGACTAATAAATCTATGATGATCACTCGAAAAATGCATTAAAAACAGAGAGTTTTCATGTTTCTTGCCTCTCTAATGTGCTTTAGTAATTCAAAACAGTGTGCTCAAAACACCAGATGGATGGCTTCTGCTTCACATAAAACCAAAGCATCTAAAGATAAGTGCCTTTTCGCATTGGATAAGTCCTACCTGGGGACCTCTAGTAATTTTGGAATTACCCCATCAAATCAGCCCAGTGTGTGTGGCAACTTCCCAGAACGTAAAATAAATCAGTCGCAGTCTTTTGTCGCTAAAATTGACTTATTTAATCTTGTTATCCACCGTTGCATTTCCATTACTGGACATGAATGGAGTTGACTCACCCACTGTGGGGATTTTTCACCTATTTCAAGACAAATCACATACAATTTGTTTTTATTCTGAATACAATGCCTACTTGCTAAAATAAAGTGTATAAAGGGGGGGGGGGGGTGTAACTAATCAAGCTACTTTGAAAAAAGCAGGTTTATTTACAAAAGAATATATAGATTTGCCATGCAGGCTGCACTACTACAGCCAAGTTTCTTCCTCCCAAACATCCACCCACCTCTGATGAAGTTCTGCTCAGCTATGCTGTGGATGCTGGCCAGGTGTCCGCTGTGCTCCCTGCAGTCCTTCTCAGCATCCTCCCAGGTATGTCTCCGGCTGAAGTGCCTGTAGCAGTGGCCGTGGAACTTCCTCCATGTGTGCTCACAACCCTTAGTTTCTGCTGGTATAAGATAAGAAGGAGGAGGTCATTGAAAAAGACAGGGATTAGTCTATGGAAAATCCATGTTGGAAGAAAAACCTGTTATTTTTTTTTTACTGTTAAAACCTACATTCAACCGATATATTTGAATAATAGCATTGCGTGGAGAAGGGGGAGGGGGCTTTAGGACTAAAAAAAAACAGATTTAACCCTTATTTTTGTGTTTTTGGGTGATTTGAAAATCATTAAATGTGGGTATCAATGTGTGTCAGCTTATATGCTTCTCCAGTTTTCCCTCATCCTCATCCCCCTCATACCTTCTTCTCCCTCCCTGCATTGTTAGGATCAGGGAAAAAGCCTTAAAATATTCTCCAACAAATTTGAAGCAGCATCAGTAAATTGGGTGGTATGGGGCTCTGATGCAGAGAGATGCAGTTTAAGCTGTGAAAAAAAGACTAGGACAAGAGAGGAGACCATTATGAAACTATTTTATACTGTTATATAAAATAAGCTTGAAACCTTTACTGCATTGGCAGTGTAAGTGCTTTTCATATACCAAAGCTGTCCTTGATTTTTTGTTGTTAAGGTACCAATGCTGTGAAGTCCAATGATGCTACTTCAAAAAGTATAATGAATGCACTGGTCATAGCTGCCTACTCAAGTGAAGTAAACTTACCACCAAAAACCCACAGTGAGTGACCTATATGAATTAGCATGTTTTAAATGTATTTAACCAGGAGAACTTCATTGAGATTAAGAATCTCATTTGCAAGAGTGTCCTGGCCAAAATGTACTCTTACTGTTTGTAGCGGCGTTCCTGAATATGAAGCCGCTGAGAGGCTGAGGTTGGGCCTAATATCCGGCGCGCTTTCAAAGAATACCCGTGATACGTAAAAATAAGTTTGACTTTTTATTAACGTAAAAAAGATAATCAACTTAACTTATGATAACGTGCATTAACTCATAATCACAGTGAACCAGAAACAATAGCGGTCAACAAAAAATACGGCAACCCAGCTCACTCCCTCTCTTCCACTGAGAACAAAAGGTGAACAGGTGAGTTAAATCAACACATCTCCGCCCATACCCATGTGACCCGACATCCCCTCACTCAACACATCATAATAAATGGTATAATAATCAATAACCCAAAACACCAATGTATAACAAACTACCTTAACCTTAAATAAATAGCACAAAGACAATTATACCAATCCATGGCTCCAACACTGTTTGCACAAAGGTAATTACCTCAAAAAAATGATATTCTGATTTAGCTCTGTTGGTAGAGCCGGCACACGATGGTCAGAGGCAAAAGTCCTTTATGCACATGATCACTGGTTCAATTCCCAATCCTGGCAGTATGCTACCTCCTCTCTCTCTATCCCCGCATTCCCTTTATCTCTCAAGCTGTCCTATCAAAAAAGCCTCCAAATTCTACAAATAAGTCAAATATCAGACAAATATTCATGTTGGCTGCAGAGAGAAAAAAGACTAATACACAAGAGTAATGTTATATGAGAGAAATGTGAAAGCATTTGTCTAATTCTATCAGTTGTATCACTCTTTGATGCTCTGATGCAGTTCATCCATCACTACTGACATTGCAGAATCATCTAGTCTCACATATAATAAATTATTATTACTGATGCCTCTTCATGAGCTACCAAAGCAAACAAGATGGTCTGGATTTACATAGTTATTAATGTTTGTTAATGTTTGCAATGCCTGTTAATGCCACCATGGGGTAGGTGTCAGAAATGAAAGTGACCGCACAATGTCAAAACAGGCTTCTGTATTTTTACAATTTCCACAGGTAAGATTCACATGGAGGGAAATATTTGGCTTTTAAAGACAGGAAGATTTGGCAGAAAATCCTATTTCACTGTACAAGAACAAATCAGTAGAGAGATGAAAGGTACCACTTTGTCCACAGGGGCTCTTTATCAACTGTTGCAGAGGATCTCTGTTAGGGTTGAGGGACACATTGTCAGTATATTTTTTTATATTCATTGATTCCATTTGTGATCTTTTTCTCTAACAAAAACATTGCCAGTGTAGTTTTACTCCTAGCCTGGTAATGCAAAATAGATGAGAATGAACTTGATGACTAATAGGCTTACTCACAAAAAGTGTGCTCCTGGCTATGCAACACACCAACACAACTGGATCAACTCAATGTTTACAAATCCTTCTTAGCATATGAAATAAGAGTATAATCACACCATGGAAATATGAGAACATAAATTCACATCAGTCAAATAAAAATATGACAGACAAAAATATGTTCTTGTCATGTATCAGACTAAACCAAATTTACATAATACAGACTTTATTAGTCCAAAATAGCTGTCATAAATTTGAACTGCAGACATTAGGTACTACCTTCTCATTGTTGCTTTAGTTATACTAGATTAGGCTTCAATGAGGGGTCCTTTAATTGAACTTGAGTATTTGTCCTGTATTTTAACAAAATATAGACATACTGTATCTGGACAGAACAGCAGAAGTTTCAGGAAATCTAGGGAGAGAGAGTGGGGAACCACATGCTCAAAATAGCATCAGGATCAAGAGTCAAACCTATTCAACAAGGACTACAGCCTTGTTAATAGGATGCCTGCTCTGCCAAGCTAAAATAGTGCCCTTACTATTTTGCTTTTTAGACCCCCTGAACTGTGAGCTTCCTGTGTGCTACTATCTTCCCTCCTCCCTGTGTGGCTATTTGAAGGCTGACATGATAGATGACAGCTGTCTAAAAAGAGTTTAAGGAAGAGAGAGACAGAGACAGTGAGAGATGCAGATGTGGGAGAATCTGATGTTACCAAAGTTGAGCATGTGAGGAGTGTTCGAGAACTGCTGTGGCATTTCCTCCAATATTATTCACAGGTTCTGTTTCTCTTCTGAACTTGTTTGGTTCAGTTCAGCTAAGAGTGACAGTTTCTTCAAAAACTGTGTCTAATAATGAAGCATCCTGCATGGGAACACATCACTCCCTCATCTCCGCTGCCTGTTAGTTAAGAGGGACAATTGGCAAGCACGACAGCTTATGAACAGAGAGTGATGCCTGGTTGTTGTTTTGCTTTAATGAACACATTCTGCCAGGCTTAGAAGCTTCCGGGACATTTAATGTGTGAAGTTGTATGTTGTGTGTGTGTGTGTTTGCTCAACAAAGTTTCTGTGTGTATTTCCGGGGACAAATATTGTCAAGATAAATTAAGAAGCTCCTGGTCCCTGTCTACTCAGTCTTGGCTAAGTCTTGATGACTCATTAGAATGCATAAATCTTGAAAAGCATTAAAAGCCTCTAAAGACCCAGAGGGTAAACAAAAAAAAACAAATTTATGCTAAGCTTTCTGCTGACTGAGTCACCAAATACCACAGCAGCAGGAAAGACAGACAGAGAAGAGAAGCATCACAGTCAATCTGGTGAGCTTATCGTTGCGTTCCCTCTTAGCCTCTTTGTGAACTCTACAAGCACATGATGAGTTGTGTCGTTTTTAGGCCTTAAGGTGGACAGTGGGATTGGGGCCCTTAGCAGGGCTTCATATTGCCGTGAGCATCTCGTACTATCGAATGATGCATGTGCAACTGTGCATCCAAAAGGCCCCTTAGTTACAGCTGCCTAAAAGTGCCTTGGCCATTTTACCTACTAACATATCGCAGGTATGTTGAGCATGAATTAAATATAAAATCACAAGTAAACAAGGTAATATATAAACTGGGGGGATTAAATGGCTATATGCACTTTAATACATTTTTAGAAACTTTAAGAAAGAAAGATTTTTTACAAATAAGGATGGAAATGACGCAGCATATAAAAATATTGTGACTTTTAAAACATGTCCAGTTCTAGAGCCACTGGGTGATATATTTCCCATAATGCAACTAGGTATCATCTTTGTAACTCTTTCTCTATCAGAAATGTAATTCAAGGCGATGACGTAGTTAAAGCTTTTTTACGGGTGCGCTTAAAAATATAGAGACATGAGGTGAATTCTGTAGTTAATGAGTTTCTTTAGGTGATGCTGCGTCAAACTTCTGAAGTTCAGCAAACCAGAAAGTGCACTGCAGCAAACAAAGAAGAGAGAGATAAGTTCTTGCTCTTTCAAAATGTCCAGCCTTTTCAATCTCCTATTTCCCTCCTCCTTTTATTGATCGCTCTCCCCTCAGAGTCCCCGGTCACACCAGAGCAGAGCTGTTAAAAGCAGAAACAGACACTGAAGCCAGACACATAAAAAAGTCAGATATTCAGAGTCACAACTCTTCTGATAATTGAAGACAAAGGTGGAGCAAACTAGATGGAAATGGGCCTCTTTTTATGTAATTCAGGGCTGTCAAAATTTCTAAAGATATATCTTCATCTGCTGTTCTTTCATCTAATGTCTCCTTAATCCAACCCCTCTTTATCTGTCCCAATCTTTGTTTTGTTTTCATTCTTGTATTGAAAATCCTTTAAAATCTTATGTTTTAAAAGATGTATTGCATAGTATTCTCATTGCTGACCAGAAAAGAAAGCAGAAGTATTCATTTATTCCTGTTGTCTCCTTATCAAATACGGTCAATTATTTGTGGTTTTAAATGAAGAAATCATATTTTTTTGTAAATTTAAAATTGTTAGATGTGAAATTTAAAAATCAATAAGAAAGAAATTCAGTATAGTTTGGCGTAAAATCCTATATTTTTTTGTTCTTCAAATTAACACAAATCGCAGCGTTTTCCTCCAAACATTACCTCTCTCACAGGTAGCTCCTCTGAAACTGGGCAGACAAAGACAGACAAAGGAGTTGATCTCATCGATGCAGGTTCCACCATTCTGGCATGGATTAGACTGGCAGTCGTCAATGTCTGGAAGGAGCGACAGAGGGAGAGAGGGGTGGAGGGTCAGATTTGAATCACTCATGTACTTTTTAAGCCACCTGCCACATCTTGTCACTAAACAGACACATGAAAGCTCAAACTTTGAAACAGATTAAAAGTGTTTTTGATGAAGTTATAATTAAGACCAACTGATTGATCTTCATCAGTATGGGATGCACTGAAGAGCATGACGCTAATTGTAGTCTGTGCAGGACTTGGTGCAGTAATGCTGTCAGAACTGAGCTGCAGGAGCCAGGGAGAGTATGTGAGATAGAAGGTAGAAAGAGATTAGAGAAAGACTGCACACACAGCTAATCCTGATGTCTTGCTGTAAACTATAAATTGTATAGGCAAATACATTTTCAGGAAGGACAGTAAACACGAGTGGGGGGTTGGACAGAACCTGAAAAGTTAAGAAACATGCGAGGATGTAGAGCTGCTAAAAAGCAGCACATAATGGTTTGAAGGGGAGTAATCAAAGCAAAACTGTTGGGATAGAAAGATCCTGGGTTTGTGGGAATTTGCCTGCAAAGCTGCTGTCATATAACGCAGACAGTGTTTGGGGAGTAAAAGTCTGTTTGGTTAATACAGTGTGACAGCTTCATCGCCAGTCCACAGCTTTGTGCTGGCTGATATTAAGTGGCGTCATTTGCGTTTCCCGAATCGGCCTCACCCACCCGTTTTTTTTCTTTTGTTTGTTTGTTTTTTAAGTTTTATTCAAGAGTAATGCACATATACAGTCAGGTAAAAAACAATATCACAATGTAAATCAAGTAAAAAACAGATTAAATAACTGAATAACACATTACATAAAGGAAAGTACAAATGAAAGACAGTAATACACAGAATATAAAGTAAAATAAACCAATAAAGACGCATTTAAATAGTGAAATCATTATTTAAATAGAGGGGGAAAGCTTTTATAATAATGCAGACATTTGTTATATTTTCTGTTGTTAATTAAAAGTAACGATTTCAGACGGGACTTTAACTCTAGATTAAAAATTGGTTAAATTAATCCACGCTCGTTTGTTTTGATTTGGAGGCGCACGTGAAATGACATTTACGCTTAACTTCGCACAGCATTGTGGGTGGTAAAATACAATTCATTTCCTGAAAGGATGCATCCGATCCATAATGCATAAAACCCGGAAGTTAGTATCCATGCTGAAATGTTCAGTATACTGAGGTGGACCCAAAAAAATGCATACTGAATGACCACAAAAGTTCAGTATACTGAAACTCCCGACTGAAAAGTACACACTGCCTACTGAACTGTGACTATTCGGAAAGGGCCCTTCTGTCCCCTCTATACTCTTTGACACCGGAGGAGGGTCATTACTTCTTTAGAGTAGTGAGTTTCTCCAGTTCTCCAATTCACTTAGCAGATACTTTCATCCAAAGCGATGTACATCAGAGAGTAAAAACAACACAAGCAAGGATCTAGAAAGGAAGGAACAATGTGCAAACGAAAAGCTTTAAGTCATCGAACACACAGGTGCTGACAGGCAGTGCACAGAGGCAAAGCAAAACCTTTTTTGTATTCTTTAAATTCTAGCCCTGGTGTTTGTGAATGCTCAGGATAAATAGAAGAAACAGCTCTTTCACCATTTAGAGAGTGCAATCAGTAATTTTATGGTTATGGATTCTTGTGGGTTTAACAAGAAAGCTGAATGAGGCCAGCATAGAGAGAGAGAGTCCTCTCAGTGAGTCATAAAGACTGGAAGGGAAGAATCAATATTTCAGCCAATAAGTTGTCTGCAATAAAACGTGGTATATAATTTTGGAAGTCAACTAACTAGGCCATAGAAAGTACTGCATTGTTACAGAAGTGAGGGAATGTCTCACGCTGCAACTTTCTGTCGCCTGCTGTATTGCTACCATCACATAAATAACTGCATCATGAACAGTCGATTTTCTATTTTATAATCACAAGTAGAGAACATCCAGTCCTGAAAAGTGTCAGGATCCAAACCATAGACAGTATGAAACATGTATGTAGTCAGTGTTGAGATGTCATGTCTGCTTTGATTCCCTGAGCTCCAGTAGGAGCAACAATAATCACCTGTGCTGGCTGCAGCAATCAGCAATCAGCCACAGGTGAATGAGATCCCCAAATCAGGTCTCCCATAAAGGGAAGGAGAGTTCATTGCACAGTTTGCTCTCCAAAGGACAACACCTGTTCCACCTTCCTTTGCCGAGTGCGGCCACATTGTTTGAGTAAATGAATTTAGTGATTATGTTCGTTTATGATGCATAGGCAGACTTGATTTATTGTTTAATTGATACATCCTCTGTTTGCTGAGCCTGTTTAGAATTATTGAACATTAATTGTCATATTTTGTCTCTGAAACAGAAAAAAAATACTTGACGAAGGAACAACCTGTGTTAATAAAAACCTTAAAGTGGAATCATTCTCGCTGCCTTCAATCTTGTGCCTCAACTCACCTTTTGATGTTAATGAGCTTCAGCCCTCAACATTTAGGTTACACCTAAAACACTCAGTGACATCACCAATCGGTTTCTTGAACAGACTTTTGCAGCTCAATCAAAAATGCTCTCCATACTAGAAATTCTGTCTAAATTTAAGTTTTGGTTAACCTACTAACAGGCAAAGCGGTGGAACTGAGGGTCTTTAGCCTTCTTCTCGCAAGGAAGCTAAAAGCCCACCTCAGTTCCACCTCTTTTCCTTCCTTGCGAAAAAGATATAACTCGCCTACCCGTCAATGTGTAAGGTTGACTTGTTTCTTTTATTTCTCTTACTATACAAATGAGTCACTAATCAGTTTCACCTGTCTTGTTTGTCACACCTGGGTTTGATTACTGTCTATTTAAGCTCTTTGTTCATTCCCTTCTGTGTCACTTTGTTCTGTTATGTATACGTTGAAAAAAAACAAAGAGGACTGACATGCAGAACCCAAAATAAAAATGTATTTAAACAAAGAAAGGCAAAACAAAAACATACTTTCTTAACGAAGTCCAAATTCCAAAAATCAATTAAAACCACAAATGGTGATGAAGGGCCCTCGCACCCCTGTGCATTTAAGAGTATGGTCAAAATGTAAATATTTTCTAATCTCATTGGGCTTCATATGGCTCACCAATTTTTGTGCATTTAGGTTCACCCTAGCACCCTCAGTAATGTCAGAGGGCGCTGTGGAGCCATTTGGCGATGCTGACGCACCAAACCATTTCATACGTAAATTTCACATGAAGCTGGATTTTGGGTGAAGTTTAATGAGTTTTCGTGCATGTTTAAGCCCCCAAATAAGCGATTCATTGTGGCGAGGGAAAATAATAACTCCTTCAGTTTCAATAGGGTCCTCGCTCCGAGATCCGTGCTCGGGACTCTAACAAGGTCCAACGAAAAAGTCCAAACACAAAGACAAACCAAAAAGAGTCAGTGAATTTGACCAGGAGACACATGAAGAAGGTTTGATGAACTGACACGGGAATGAACACAGAGCTCAAATAGACATGGGGTAATTTAACCCAGCTGTGATAAACAAGATAGGTGAAACTGATGAGGGCAATCAAACTGGAGGGAAAAGCACACGGGGGGGGGGGGGCAAGAGGTTAAACTAGAAATGAACCGCTGGGTAAAGAACTTCAATATACATCAGCAAACACTGAAAACTAAACTCAGGATTCTCAACAGAAAGTTACTCACTACGACTTAGAGAAAAACAAGGATACGAAAGTACAAAATAAGAATAAACTAAGAAATATTAAAATAAAGAAACACACAAGGAAAACAAACACCAGGGAGGAATGACCCAAAATAAAACAAGAAAATCTAAACTCTGAAAATATACAAAACCAAATCTTGACATTCTCTACTTCAAACATCTGTGTATATATATATATATATATATATATTTACCCACAACATTAAATAAAGGACATTTAAAGGCAAGAAGCATATGTTTTGCTCTGCGTTTTTTTGCTTTGACACTAAAATAGTTCACACTTTCTGTGTGCCATCTAATCAGGTTTATTCTGGATGTGATTCTAAGTAGTTGCTATCTCTGTGTTTAGGTGTGTCCTATTTAAGTTGAAGGGCTTTGGAGAGAGTGTAACGATGTCAGCTGCAAATTTCAAATGTCAAACAAAATTAAAATATATAGAATCAATTGCAGCCTTTTTGACATCAACATGACTGTTTGAAAAAGCACTGGGAGCAGTGGAATTCCACATTACATCTGATTTTCAAATTGTATTTTTCAGACTGTTTAACATTTGAGGAAACCTCAGAAGGAGAGAGAGGCCTGTCACAAATGTCTCAGACAACATTTCTTCAGGGTATTGTGACTAATGTCCAAAAGTGTTTAATTCAGTGAGAAGATGGAAACACAGTAACAATGAGTTACTATACAAGTTCAAGAGAGTGAAAAAGCTCAAGAGAGAAATAACAGAATTATTGAGAAGAATGAAGAAAATAAATCAGATGATAACAAGAATTTTAAACATCATTGTGCCCCCTTATACAAAGTTTCTGTATGTGTTACTAATTTGATGATTCATTATGCAAAAGCCTATTTAGAGAAGCAAGCAGAGGACTGAAGGTGGGCAAATGAAACCTCATGATGCATTAATGCAATCAATTTCCAGTTTGTCCCAAAAGAACAGGAACAGCATTTTTTTCTCTGTTAATTAAATGTCAGACGAACAGATCAAACAGTAGTCTGATCAATTACTCAGAGAACCTTTGAACCAGTAAATGCCACTGGAGACTTCACATCTGACAGGGTGGTAAGGAGGGCATGATAGGGCGATGTTAATGTGAAACAGAAAGCTACATGGGAAAAAATGCATATTAATGCAACCATACTCCCAATCAGTCTTTCTGTAACACAAAACATTGAGAAATGCAATCTTACAAACATACTGGTTAAAAAAGTTGCCCCCTTATCAACCAGCAGCAGTGACAGATCTGGTCTACCCTCTAACGTTCTCATAATTGCCTCAAATCCAGAGCTGACATCCTCTAAAATGGATTCTTTGAAACGGAAATATTTGTCACACAAATGTTTTGCCTGAAATGCTCTTTGTGTTTGTCATCTTTCATTGTGTAAGACCTGGAAGATTGACTTCCTTTAGCTAGCTGGGGGACATTGACATGCCTGCCCTTCTACAAAGACAGGTACCTTTTTTATTGAACTGCTGCTCATCCAAACAGCAAGCCCACTCACTAAACACAGTTCTTCAACAGTATGAGCATCAAGGGCTGCTGGTGAAATGGGCTCACAGGGCTAAGCCCTCTCTTTCGTATACATTAGAAATGGATAAAGTAATTTACAACATAGTTTTAAATGTTGGTGGAACCTAAATTAGCAACCAAACTTAATACACATTATATGTGCTTAATTTTTACAGTCCAACCACTTTAGCATCCTCCTTAATCCACTCCCATAGTTTCAATGAGTGACAGGTGTCATGTCATGCCCCCTTGATCTGCTGATCATTTTAGCTATTAATTTAGGCCACAGGCTGTTGAGTTATGACCAACTGTAGCATTACAGACTGTGGAGATGCTAAGAAACTAGCTTAGGATATCTAAACTATCTGACTTAACGTTGTTAACAAAAGTAACGGAGAAACAGATCGTAATCTACATTAATTGATCTTTTTCTGTATGTGTTAACGTATTAGGATGCTGGAATGATAAGTTGTTTGCAATTTCAACTTCCACCTCAAATTCAACTTGCCCCTGGGGGAAATTTGTTTTACAGCCGGCTAAAACAATACAACTTGTAAAACACTTGCAAGTGAGAACAAACGAAACAACAAAATAAAATGCCATCATCAGTCAGCAATAGTGAAAAGGAAAATGCTTAATTCTAGGTCATTATTTAGACCTACAGAGTGACAAAAGTTGTAAGCTGAGACATAGTGAAGCACTTAACAGCAGTTACCAAGTGTACTGGTAGCTTTCTCTCTGAAAATAAAGATGTTGGAGCAGACCAGCATGGGAGATTTGAGAACTTAGTCTAACAGGTGCTTAAGCTTTTGAGATTAAATACCTTCAATGTTGTCTACACAACATAGACTGAAGACACAATTTGTTTGACTTAAAAGAGGTTGAACTTAAGTTCTGCAGTAAGTAGAGAGTAATAATGGGATGAGTAATGATTAGTCCCTGGAGTATTCTCTGATGGAGTGTTCTCATGTTCTTCCTAATCTGAGAGCTTTTTTACACTTACTGTAAAAAATTAATTGTTTTACTTTTTGTACAGTTTCAGTAAAGCCACTAAATTTCCCCATCAGCTGCTAATGGAATAATAGAGTCTGTGAGGTGGATAAAACTGATTTGACAGACATTCAAGATTACATGAAGTTCAGTGGAGGCTCCTGTAGGAACTTATTAAAGCTAACCTTAAGGCAATAAAATGTTCGAAATATTTAGATTTGCATGGGAATTAGATTCATTGCTTTACGTTGGTTGATTTGAAAAGATCTCTTAAAGAGGCAATATTGAACCATCAGTTACTCAGAAGTGTTAAGATCCAAGGCATAGTCTGAGGTATGCAGAAACAGAGCTAGTTCAGTTCACTGATTGAACATCAGTTGTCAGCTTTCCATCACAGCAACATTCAAGAAACAAGCGACCCCACTTTCTTCCCATTCCCCTTTACTCATGCCCCTATTGTGTTACTTGTCCTCACTGTATTGATTATTACCACCTACCTTCAGAGGGCTGGGGCTTCATTGGCAGAGACAAAGGTGGAGATGAAAGCAAATAGCAGCACAGCCCAACCTGCATGTCGGAAAAGGCTGTGAATAATGCATGCACACTAAAGCTTGAAATTATTACCTTGTGGGTGGGCATATTCATTCAGGCAGCGCAGCAGTGAGTATTTATATTAATAAAGCTGGTAATTGCTAGCTGAAGAAAAACCTCTCACCTTTATTGATCCATTCCTCTGGCTGTCTGTGGGAGAGACTTTAGTCTCTTTGTATCCATCCCCTTAAGCTGATGCCAGGATTTGTTATTTGGGGAGGCTGTTAAAAGAAGAGCTACTATCTTCCACCCAAGCTAAGTGTACTAGATGTTTTTGGCTTTTATCAATTAATTTCTCTACCTTCTGCCAAGTTTCTCACCCATAGTTTGCCTTTACAGTAGATATATATCTAGTAATTATTTGTCCAACAGCCTTCAAGTTTTCCAGTTTTAAAATGGAGCAACGCCTGCAAGCTAGTCCAGACTGTTTTCACATTGACATGCCTCTTTCTCACAATCACCTGATAAATACATCCTCTCAAATTGATAGAAAATTTCCGGTCTCTCCCTCGGCTGTCATTGGCCAGCTCTGCCCTGAACCCATACTGTGCTCTTGTTTATCATGCCCACCACCACCCCAGCAAGTTATTATATCATTACTCCTCAATGTTTTGCATGTAAAGCAATCTATGAGAACTGAGGAGGTCGTCGCCTTAACTGTAAACTAAGCAATGTTTTGTTTCTTCATAAACATTTAAAACCATAACTGATTATGGGTTTGGTAACACCTCACTTTTAAAAAGACACAAGCTGAACTGTTGATTGCAGACGTTCTCCATCTTATCTTGTGTTGAAGTATACTGCAGCATTCCTGAGGGTAATTCACTCTGCTGTGGGTGTTATGTCTAACCGAGCCTCCAGGTTCTTCAGTACACACACTAACAATGGACCACTGCATGTGTGAGGCCTCTTTTTAAACTTTTCAGAGCATTTATCTCCTGGTCTTTGAACTCAGAATTGTTCAACCATGTCTAGTCAATTTGCTTTGTTTTCTCATCTGTTTCATTCAGATCCCTCTCTAAAGTAGAACATGTAACAGGAGAGAGCACAGTCTCCACTCAACCTCTTTACATGATGTGTGTGTGTGGTTTGAGCTCATACCGTTATCAGTGGATGGAGGGTTGTCAGCAGAGGCTTCTGGCTGAGTGGTAGTTTGACTTTGCCCTGGCATCACCTCTTTCTCTTCCTCAGACAGACCGTCTTCTGGACTCTGTAGTCCACTGGTTGTAGCCGTGAAGGAAAAACTACCAATCCTTCTACCAATTCTTGGTCCACCCTGTTTTTCATCCCAGCCCTCTGCTGGCTTTGAGTGGATGACTATGTGCTCCTCAGAGATCTCAGAGGTGTTGTTTCCAGCAATGGAGTTGACTTCTGTATTGTTTAGGTCAACTGGACCTTTGGAGGAAATGTTCTTGGAGAAAGGGTCTCTATGTTGGGCTGCAGTGACTGAGGAGATGTCCTCTGCTGCTGCGTTGGTGGTCTGGTACAAAGTCTGTGATTGTGCAGCCTGTACCCCCACAGGCTGGTGGGCTGCAACACAAAACAGACACATTTCAGCAAAGGAAGCACACGTGTTCACCTGACCCACTTTGCCTGCTGCTGCACTGAACCCCAGCTTTAGCAGCACCCTCCTTCTACTGAGTTTAAACAATAACATTTAGAGCATGCTGCACAGATACATCATTTTGTGTCACATGTAGGAATATTTTTTCTTCAACAAAACCCAAACATGATTAAATCAACAAACGTGCATGTCTGTTGACATCATATTAATGAGATAGATTTGATCCATATCTTCTTATATGTTGTTTGTACTTAAGAACACCACCAACTCCCCAGAAACTTACAGTTTAATTCTAAGAAGTAATATAAAATCCTGAGTTTTCCTTATTCTACTCTGATATAAAATACAGAGAGCACACAGACAAACTAATCACATGACAAGAGTTTTGGCTGTGCTTGCCCTAAAAGGAATACCATGGCAACAGGTCACCAAAAAACTAAAAAAAAAAAAAGGGTAAAGTGCGTCTGATCTGTAAAGAAAACACAAAAACACACACATACTGTAAACACACAACAAAGCTTTCAGGTGGCCTCATTCTTTTTTTTCATTCTTGTTCAAAATGTTTAATTAAGCGTTCATTTGTAATGTCCATCTCCCCTAATAATTTTTTTCTTTATATTAGAAGTAACTTAACCTAAAAGGAGAACACAGAAATACAACAGATAGATGAGACTTAAATTATTTACCACAATAAACTAAGATCCTATATTAGAGTTTTTATTGTTTTCTAATATTTTTTTCCTGAGAGGACAACGTTATGGTGCTTCAATTGAGTGATGCAGGTTAAGCTTCTCTTTGACTGGAAGAAAATCCTGATTATTTTTATTATACATCACTCTGACTCTCATCAAGCTGGTCTGCTTCCTTACATGCTCTAAAACCAGACTTTAAGCAGATCTTAGATATACAGTGTAGCTGCACTGCGGCCATTGTTTGTCACATCCTTTGTATTGAAGCTGGTACATGACAGGAGGTGGGTCAAACCTCAAAATGTGAACTATAGAGGAGATCAACACTAAAATGAAGGAGGGCTGCACAAGTTGTCCATCAAATACACCCTTTAGAAGCTTAACATTTATTTCACTTAAATCATTATTAATGATAACTGTGAATCATGTAGCAGATTGGCTGCAACCAATTAATACGTTTAAGTATTTGTTGATTGATATAAAAATAAAGGGCAAAATAATGAGAAAGAATGTTTTTTTTTTCTGTGAACATGATTATGTGCAGTTGTATTCAATCTACACTGTAGGTGAGGTGATGGAGACTGCCTGTGGTTTATTGAGGACTTACCAAAGCCCACAGTTTGAAGCAGGAGGAGGACCTGAAGAGGCTGCAGGCCACACCAAGACAGTACATCCTTCATCCTGCTGCACATAAAGACACACATGAAGAGAGGAAGAGGAAATGTGAGCACACAATGGTCTTTAAAATCAACACATTCACTACGAGAGGATGGTCCAATAGTCAACAGTTACGATTCTGTTTTTTTAGATACTTTTTTTCTTTCAAGTAAAGCTTAAGGAGAGTTTTTTTGTCATTTAAATCTTCACTTGAATTTCATGGAATAAGGGTGTAGCACGCTGAGATTGGTTTATACTGTGAAAATAGATTGTTTGAGAAATAAAACACAACAAATAAACACACTGATGCAATTCAAGAATAAAAAGAGCTAGATAAGACTAATATGTGTGAATCACAAAAGCCAGGGGACAGAGACCAGATGAGGCAGGCCAAACCCTGACATTGGGCCAAAGAAACCCTAAATGTAAATAATGAATATGGTGTCTCTGGATATGTGATGGTCGAGCGGGGCCTGAGGGCAAGAGAGAAGCTGATGGGGGGGAGCAGGAGGAGGAGAGGAATATTTTTTACTTTCTCCATGACAACAGTTTATTTGAGGAAATTTTAGTGAGGATTTGGAGTCCACCATAGCACTGAGTCTGCACTAGTTAAATTAGAAATGATCTACTTCTAGCCTCGGACAGGGACTTCTCTCTGTGCTTGTCCGGTTAGATCTAAGTACTGCATTTGACACGATTGACCATCAATTCTTTTGTAGAGACAAGAATAACTACTTGGAATTGCTTAAAGCTGGTTTAAATCCTAATTGTCAGACTGATCTCAGTGTGTAGGCTACATGTTAATGATAAGTCCTCTATGCAAACCAAAGTAAGCCATGGAGTGCCAAGGTTCAGTGCTTGGATCTATTCTCTTCAAATGATATCTGCTTCCTCTGGGTAATATCTTGAGGAAACACTCCATAAATGTTCATTGCTATGCAGATGATGCTCAACTTTACGTATCAATGAAGCCTGATTACACCAATCAATTATGTGACCTAGAAGCATGAGATAGGATATTTGGACCTGGATAACAAAAATGTTTTGCTGCTTAACTCAGACAAGACTGAAGTTATTGTGCTTGGCCCTAAAACCAATGATATAACTGTCTTTAAAGGCACCAGCCTGGAATCTAGCATCACTGTTAAGTTTTTAAAGTGAATAATAATAGAGCATCATCATTATCCAGAGAATTCCACAGTTTCCACTCAATATAATGAAATACACATTCGTTCTAATGTAGTCTGTGTATATGGACTTTTAATACAAACTCTTTCAATGTGAACCGAATTTACAACCATGTTGATTTGATCGTATCCCAATTCGAGGATAATTTTATCAAACCACCTCTTGAATGTCACCATTTAGGACACTATAGTATCTGTAATAGACTTCAAATCCTGTTTCCTGTTTTACTAAAAGATAATCTAAAAAACTTTCCCCTGTGCCTTCTTACTGGTGAAATAATCCTTATTGCCACAAGGTTGGGATTGAAATAAAAGCAATATAGAATACCAGGCTACAAGTAACAAAAGTGAAACCATCACCTTCCTGTCCACTCATAAATCAACATCAAAATAAGCATGATTGGATGAAATTAATTGTTACATTTATGCAGGATATACATAACGGTTCATCTTCAAAATCCCCAAATTCTGAGCAAAACCATTTTCCAATACCTTAGAAAACTGATACAGCAATGACACAGGTTGGTGGTTTTTTAAGGCTAGAACTACCGAACAAATCTTCAGATGAAGCACTGCTGCAGAGCTGTTACTGTCACACCTGTCTTTTCACCAAAGTTTACCTTTGATAATAATCAACAATGAATGATTGACAGGGTAATGTGCAACATCAGAGACAATGACAGTGTACAGACATCTATCTGAGGCAACTTGGGCCAAACTTGAGAAGAGGTGACAATGTATCAGCTCTTACAAAAGGATCTAATTTATACATGATAGAATGGCACAAAAACAAGTGGAATCTTCAATTAATTGGCCAGAAACTATGTTTCAATGACAGACTGATACAAGATGATATATAATATAATAATATAATATGAAATATCAAAGTAGACAAAAAAGCAGGAATTGAAGTGTGAGAATGAAAGGGGAAGAAATGTCATGTTCAAAGCATCAATAACAAAAAACACTGGGCAAAGGAATATAAGCCATTATGGTGACAGCTGATGTAGCTCAGCATGCTCTGTACTTATTAATAATAACAGAGTGGGGAATGAGTCAGGAAAGTCTGAAAATGTTTCTAGGGTCCTTTTACGAGCAGCAAAATGGGGGAGAGGAAATTAAAGAGCGATAGAGAGCAGGAGAGGCTGGCAGGGGTTTGATGGTGCAGCAGGGCCAGTTCTAGCTTCATTTCTAAGCGCTGCAGACCTGTCTCAGTCAGAGCTGGATTCACTGGTCTGAGATGGAGACAGACGGTGATCCCCTCAGTAAATCGATTCTCAGACACACTCATTTGGAAGAATCCGAATTTATTAGATCTGCCCAAGGCTAAGGTTTATTTACTTATTTATCTGCCCTATCTTTCTGAGAATATAGGGCTACCTGCTGGGCACAGCATCTTCCAGACATGACAGCTAATTTCAGCATATGTGTGTGTGTGTGTGTGTGTGTGTGTGTGTGTGTGTGTGTGTGTGTGTGTGTGTGTGTGTGTGTGTGTGTGTGTGAGAGAGAGAGAGAGAGATAAAGAGAGATGGAGAAATACTGAGCATGAGAAGGCCACCTTCACTGTGCACACGCTCCATAAATCAACAGGAGGCAGTCAACACAAATTGACATTTCACAGAGGGGTGTATTTTCATTTGAGGTCCAGTTGATTTGTTGGTTTAAGGCTGTTTTCACTGTGTCATGAGTCAGTCCGCCTGCTACCAGAGGAATCAATTTAAAACAAGCTTTGTGCTTTACTCCCTGATGCAAAGTTTACCACCTCTAAATTACATGTTCTCTTTATTTTGACTGTCTGTTTTAGACACTCAAACACTTTCTGGATGATCCAAAATCTCCAAACTCCACTAGAATAAAATCACAAACAATTTTTTTGGTTTTTCTCAGCTAGACATCTTTGCCCATAACAGAGCAATCTCTCACTGAGCCTTCCCAATCCACTCTTCCCCTCAACACTTGTAAGCTCGTAAGCTACACAGACAGTCTGATACATGTAATTAGATTACAACAGACAGTTTAAACAGGGCCATTAAATCGTTAGGGATAACCTTAGAATTGATCTCAAGTATGTTGATCATTTCAGCAGCCTGGTAGGTCTCTCTGAGAGAATGACAGAAAAATGCATGACATTGGTTTTACACAGTTTGAAACTTTTCACTGCCAGATTTCATGCATGCAGAGCTGTGACAGATGAATGGTGAGATGAATCACTGCACTTTCTCAGATTTAGATGAATGATTGATAGTACACACTGTGTCTTTTTTGTTGCGTTTCTGGGCACGTTATGACAAAACCTGGGATTGAACCATATGTAGCAGAGGATAGACATCCAACCCATCCCTCAAAAAGATTAAAGAGGCAACACTACATCAGGAGGACTATAGTCAGCCATGTTCTACCATGTTTATATCATTAATTGACAGCAGTCATATGAGAGAAGCTATATCAACAAAATATCAAGCCATCAGTGTCATGTGTGATGGTTGGTTAAGTGTTATAAACTAGTAGATGGCAGCATGACTCTTCCTCAGGGCTGCTGATTATTAATGACAGTGTCAGAGCAGAGCAGCCTCTTTCAATCACACTGCAGGTAACTCTTGCTCCCACAATAGGCACCATGGCAGGCAAGAGCTCTTTAAATCCATTTCACAGGGAGTTAATTGGCCACATTTCTAATTTCCCAACCGACTGATGTAAACACACACACACACACACACACACACACACACACACACACACTATTGAAATTTTGACAACAAGGTAATTCAAATTGAATGAAAGAGTGCCAATATGCCAACATAACCTCCTCAGCCTCGACAGTTGTTACACAACACTAGAACTGAGGAACCACAGGGTTTAGCATCACAAAAAGGCAGGTTTAAGGACAAAGAGAGCAGTTGAAATATTTGAGGAGCATTATGAAATACACGAGAACAGATGGAGGAAGAGAACAAGGCATAAGAAAATAGTATGGCTGTACAAAATTGTGTGCCAATCTTTGTAGGATGTTAAAACATCTCAATGGATAAATTATAACTAAGGGTGCATTCACACCTGAGCAGTTTGGTGTTTTTGAAACAAACTCTGTTGCACTCTGTTGGATAGTTCGTTTGGTTTGGTGATGGTGTGAACGTTAAACACACTCAGCTGGGGGGTCAAAAAACTGAACTCTGTTCTGCTTGAAAATTTCTGTCTCGATTCGCTTCCAAGTGCACCAGAGTTTGTATCCCCATAGGGGAAGAAGAGATTCAAACCAAAGAAGGGAAGTGAACCAAAATGCTGTGCTTTGTGGGTTAAATTTGGCCAGATATTTCAGAATCAACTGCAAAAGACAAAAAATCAGACACGGCTAAACGTAGTATCTTGTGGCTTACGTTAGCATGGCTAACAAGACCAGCCTTCAGCCCTCCATGCAGGTTAACATCCACATGGCAATGCTAAATGTGGTAACACATTGCTCCTGTCCATATGCCAATTTAACCTGACACAACATTATCTTCATTTTATAGATCAAAAGACTGCCAAACCCTGCTGCACTACGGGATGCAAGACAAACCAAATGAAAAATGCAACAATGTTGTCCTTTCCTGTTTGTCCTGAATCGTTACAATTTGTGACTGTTCCCTAATGTTTTCTTTCTCTCTTTCTGTTCCTCTTTTCCTCCCACTCTGTGTTAGCTCTGATAAGTGTCTTTGCAGAAGTGGATGCAGAGAAGGTTTCACTCCTTGGGGTCTGTCAGATTTATCCAAAATTACCAAACACACAACAAACACCCGCCTCCATTCCCCGTACCAGGCATGAAGTCCCATAGCATCAGACTTCATGTGCTGCAAGAT